CAACCTCACACACAAACAGCCTTCAGTCTTCTGCAGGTCCTGGTACACTTCCATCTCCAGAGGCCTGCAATCCGGAGCTTACATTGACACACACCTTTTTGCACAGTTTGTACCTCTTTATCACCACATTGCCTTGGAGCCATGACTGTCCATGACTGAACGTCAGAGGGGTTTTTATGACCTTGTGCATGTGTGTCAAAACAAGACAGAGAGGGAGAGGGAGAGGGAGATAAGAGCTGCAGTCTCCAAGGGACTTCACGTTTGCTACCACTGCAACCAGAACATGGTAACTATCTCTCCCCCCTTCACGTCCCCTCTTCTTAGAGAGTTTTATCGTGCTTTTTGAGGTGAACCAGGCTGCAAGCACATCACAACACAAATAGAGAGATGAGTAAAGAGGCTGACAGACAGACAGACAGATATCTAGACAGTCTTAGAGGCAACGTTTCTAATTTCTGCAGACGCTCTTTAAGGACTAAAGCCATGTGTAAACAAAGGGTGGTCGAGGGATGCAGATAAATTAGGTTAAACTGAGATCATATGTCGATCTCGGTTCTTGGTGCTCAATATAGAAATAAGTGTGAGATGGAGAGATAAAAGGAACAGGACAAGAGCGAGTGGGGATAATTCAAGGGGATCATAGGGTGTGTGTGTGTCTGCGTGCATCAGAGGGGTGAGCAGGTTCAACAGGTCCCATGTTGGGTGGGAGGCTTGAGAGTGCTCAGGTGCTAGAATCCTATATCAGAGCCAATGCTGACCGTGGGTCTATATCAAGAGCTTGGCTAAAGTTTCAGCCCCAGGGCGGCCATGGAGGATTATTCCGACAAAGACAGGTTCTGGCCAGCCTGAAAATAACTGATCCAAACTTGCCACTGACTTTTCGCACACTAATGAAGAACACAGGGAGAGGGAGGGTAGGGGGGGATGCACCTCTTGCCCCTGAGATTTCCTTCTTGTCAGGAAGTTAAAAGGAGGCCTGTGAAAGAAGAGAGAGTGTCAAGGGTGCATTCTGGGAAGGAGCAGGAGAGGAGGGAAAATGTCAGCACGGTAGATTATACATCTCTGTGAACAGGCCACACATTCCTGCTGCTATGGGGCAGAATTTAGGAACTGCGTCCGGGGCTTATACTGACAGAAATCCTCCATATTCAGTGCAATGTGAGCATTTTTTTGTTAAGGAGTAAAGACTAGATCTGTTTTATTTTTTTTCAAAGGAAACATGTCGACCAACAGGTCATCCTGAGTGTCAAGAGAGGGGCTTTAAGAGAGCCTGGAGCCACGCAAAGTAACTTTACCTGTAGCTTGTCTTAATTTATCAGCACAAAGCTGTCAAAGCGAAGGCAACAGCCACAAATCATGGACTCCTGCTATGGTCTGTGTGAGTGTGTGTGCGTGCTTGCGCGTGTGTGTGTGTGCATAAATGTCTAGGTGTTTTCACTGTGTCCTCTGGGATGATATATGGGACGACACATAAGGACATGTAATGTGTGTCTCTTACATAACCAAAGATAATAGCAGTGACATGTATCCACATGGAGATGCATCCTCAGGACTTGTTTCTGTCTCTCCATGTTCTGGTCCTAGTTGTCAACTGGGTGTCAACTTGAGGAGTCTTATTTATCACCTTTATGTTGTGTTATTTCACTCTGTTGTGTGAATCTAGATGGATGAATTATTGGTATTCGTTATTAGTTTACTTATTGAAAGACCTGGAATCCGTTGAAGACTGGAATTTTATATTTTAATATTGATGGTAATATTTTATGTGTTCATTATGATGATGGTGGCATAAAGATGCTTGGTATGCTCTGTTCTGGTGTCGAAGATGTCTTTTTTTTACGACAAAATCGTTTGTTTTTTAAGCTGTGGAGCATTTATTAACAAATTATGAGAGACTTTGTGTGATGCTGCTGAAATCAGATTTGAGCTGAATTGAAAACTATTCTTGACATCCCTCACATCAATCATTTATAACCTGTCAGAGGTCTATAGATATGAAAGGGGCATTTCACCAATCTTTCACATGAGGATCATCTTACTCATAGTCCGAGTAAGATGCTTTATTTAACCGGTGAAAACAGTTATGTAATGTCTTTTAATCACTCAAGGAACTTTATAAAGTTGGATCAGATTACTTAACTTTGGCTCCCAGATGAGTTTCTTCAAAGGTTAATTCGATAAATCATCAAAATATCACTGCCCTTAGTGCACAGATTGAAACCACATTAACTGTATGGATGAGTAATCCCAAGTGAAATTAGATCCAGATTATGTTTCTTCTGTGCAAATACACAGACCTCTCTTTCTTAGACAGATACAAATTTAGAAGAGCATAGTCTAGTCAATATTTCAAATGGACTATATCCTATAACTTCAATTTTTTCTTCATCTGTGATAAAGTTTATTCAATTAGTATTAAATTATATTTGTTGAATGTCCCCCCCCCCCAAAATAAATAAATAAATAAATAAATTATCTAGGTGTAGCAGGTGCCAGTTTAGAATTCCAGCAGTGGCCTATTCTTGTGGGGCTAAAAGGCCTGTTTTCAACCACTGAGGTCTAGATGGTGCTTTTAAATCAACACAGTATTTTGAAAAGGAGCTAAAACCAGTGTGCACTCAATGTGACATGTTAATGGCACCTGTTGGTAAGTAGCCCTTCTTGTTCCTTGAGTGTTCAGGTGTCCTAACTACAGTCTTGACCATGCTTTTGAATGTGGTGGTGGACAGTGTTGTTGCCTTTTGGTGAAACTGGACTGGATTCAAACCCTGATCCAGTGTCTCATGTCAGGTGGGAATGATAAAGTCTTACACTTTCATCTGACCTTAGCTTTTAAACTCAATAGTGACATAGTTACATAATAGAGCTAAAATGGCTAGCCTTGTCAGGCAGGCCTAGGGTATGGTGGTCTACACTACCGACACTACTACCCTTAAGGGAAATGACCCTTCAGGGAAATGACTTTGGGTTCAAATCCTGCTTGGATGCTTTCTAAATGATGCAGAACTCAAATTTTACCCCAAATGTATTCTAAGCTCTGCTTTTTTATGGTGGTCAGCACTGCCTCCTAAGTCCTGGGTTACGATCCAGTGCAGGCAGAGAGTAAGGTTGAAGCCAGGAAAACTTGGGGGGAGGAGGTTGAGAGGAGGAAAGGAGAGCGGGGGAAGAGCAAGAAGGGAAAATCAAAATAGGAACACTCATAAAAAGACCCACACTCCTGAGAGGGCAGAGAGGGGAGAGTCAACCTGCTTCAAAACCTGATAACTCTGAATCTGATGTCTTTGAAGAAAAGATGTAGATGTTGTTGCAGAAAACCCACTGAACACAGAGCTGAAAGGCATAAACCAAAACTTACTTGATTGCACCAATCCTATATGTTTATTGAACTCTACATGATATTCTGCTATTAATGTCCACTGTCAAGCTGATACAGGTATGACAGTTTAACCAAGATTTTATTGACACTCTAAAACAAGCCAGATACCACCTGATGAACAATAGTATCCTTCTCCCCCTTCATAAACAAAACCTAACTTTAATGATTAACAGGTCCACTGTTTAACAAACTATGATAGTCTCAGGCCACAAAACGCAGTTAAAAACGATTAATCACAGACACATAAAAGGCCTGGTCATGGTTAGGTTTTTATGCTCTGCAGGCCTGAAATTGACTGTATGCAGAACAGAGAACAGTTATTCTGTTGCTCCCACACGGTATGAAAGTTATCTACAGTTGTCATTCAGTCTTGCTGGTGGTTAACCTGTCATTGCCACACCGTGCCAATCTCAGTCATAGTCCTCCCAAGCTTTCTATGGGTGAAAAATGCATCAAACTCATGCCCATATTAATTTGACTGTGGTGGTGGGGCCCATTGTAGTATTTATGGGGCCCAGATTCCTTAATGACACCCCTGCAAAAACCACTTATCCCAAATATCCACTCTGATCCATTATTTCCTCTGCTAGCTTTTTAATATTACAGCTTATCCTATCAATAAATCTGTTACCTTCTTACTGCAATCCCTGTTATCTGCATCTAACTACCAGATAACCTCGTAAGCTTTGATGTTTCGGAAAACAAAATGGTTGATCTACACGAGAACTGTAGCCTTTACATGCATTCAGGTCACCCAACTTTTGGGTGGGGTTGGAGTTCAATTATATTGCGGGCACAATAGATTTTAACAATATCAAGAGAAGCATTTATTTTGTTTAGTCTTTGACGTCTTAAATAAAATCATCTTATTCTCAAATGTTATCTATTAATGGGTGCATGCTAGATTATCTAAAGCCCTTTACAAAATCCACTGTGATTAAAGACACTCTATAAAAGGTTACCTCAGTACATAGCTTACTTTCTAACAAACCCAAGCCATATGAATTGTTGGCAAATGAGGTTGTCCGACATTTCCTTCTTTTTTTTCCCCACACAGAGCTAGCAACAGCTTGACTCACAGGACAGTGGTATTAACCTACATACTGAGGCATTCCAACAATAAATTCTTAAAACCACCAAGGCAGTGAAGTTTGATCATGACTGGCTCCTCAGGGACAAGAATACATTTAACATTAGTCACAATTAACAAAAGCTGAGATCTTTTGAGTTTATACCAGAAGGAAGTATAAATTACAGTTTAGTGTTGGGCAAAAATAATTCAGTACCCTTCTTTAAATCACTTTTTCTGTTTTTAAATTTTGGTATTTATTTCATTAGCCCTTGTTTCCTTTGTGGCTAACCCTTGAAAATGCTTTTATTTATGTTCTCAAGGCTTTAAGAGCTTATGCTGGGTCCATCTCTGAAACCATTTCAGACAAGACTTTTCCTAGTAAAAACCTAGACGGCTCTGCCATCTAGTGGTTCCAAGAAGAGATGTACTGTTGCCAATGGCTCACAATCAGTTAAAATGTGTTCATAGCGATATAAAATTATAAGGCGCTATTAACACAAAAGATAATTCAAATGGACCATAAAGGCACAATAAAATTATCGTTATTCAGATCCTGGAAGTTTGGGGTAAAAATTTGATTTTTTTTCTAATAACCTTGATTATCTTGAAGCCAAATTATTATGGATACATTTTTCTTATATTGGTTGAAATCTTCTCTTTAGCGCTGATAAAAAATACTGGACAAAATAGCTTGTGTAAGGTTAAAAATGTATCTTCTGTGGCTGGCAGACCTCTAATGAGTCTGATCTGGTTAATGTTAAACTTGCATGTTGTATAACCTGTGAATTTGTGCATAACAAGAGTCTTCCACAGGCCATCACGAGTAAACAGTTTTTTTTACTACTGCAGACTGAGTAGATTTATTGTTTTGGTGTACTGGCTCTGAGCTTTTTCCTCTCTGGAAAACAAAATCTAGTTTACTTTTTTTTTTTTTTTTACTTTATTCATTTTTATTTGTTTGCTTGTCTTTGAAAAATACAAAATTCAAAGTCATTATCACAGTAAATATCTTGTCAATCAACATGTACCCAGGTTTAAGTTTAGACGTTTCCTCTTGTTTGAAAATTTAACTTTGATCAAGATATTTTGTTTTTTCTTTATTTTTGTCGACATCAATTGTTCTTCACTGGCAGAGGGGCAATGAATGCAGAAGGAGAGGTAATTAGTTAAATATTAGTTTGTTAAAGAGACAACTCAGCCAGATGATTAAATGCATGGGTGACATTAGGGTTAATCAACTACATTTGCTCATATTGCAGTTACAAAATAGTTAGTCTTTGTGCTTGTACTTTTTTGAGTACTTTTTTAAAATTATTAGTTTTCCTATAAAGTGTTTTCTGTGGAATATGTTGTTCTTCACTTCATTTTACATAGCATGAATTACTGAATAAAATACTAACTCAAAACATTAGCTAAACACCCACTGCACAACAGCCAACTGATAGATGATGTTGACACCAAAACAACAACTAAATTTTTTCAAATTATCACACATTCAATATAAACTATATTACTGTGACAGGTCTAAGTATAAATATTGTTTCTAGATATTTCAAGCAATAATTCTATTCTGTTGTTTCTGTCACAAACCAGAAATTTAACAAAAACAGAGGGAGGACCCATGTGCAGAACTCAAAATGTTTAATCGAACAAAAGACAAAAGATGAAAGTCCGACAAAAACTCACTCTAAAAATGTCCAACAGAGAAATCCAAAAACACAGCAAGCAAAAATCAAAATAAAACAAAAGGCACAAGGAAAATACTATAGGACGGGCTCAGACACTGTGGACAATGAACAAAGAACAATGAATCAAAAAGAAGGAACCCAACACAGGGACTAAATACACTGCAATGAGAGACAGGTGAAACACTAAGACACAGGTGCATACAATCACTGAGGAGGGAAAACACAGATTAAAAAAATGAACAAAACTTGACACATGGGAATTGACTTCTACCAAATAAACCACACACACAGGGAGAAGGAACTACAAAATAACCCGAGAAACACTGAAAACTGACCACAAGACCAAACAGAAAAACACAAGAACAACAGGAACATACGAATAACTGACACAGTGGAAGGAACAATAGGGAACAGAAACACTGAAAAATACATAGAATGTACAACTAACTTAAGAAACCAGATAAAACTAAATTAACAAGAACATATTCTGACAGTTTTGAGTATTTTTGGCTTGCATCATCAAGCCTCCCCTCTCACAAGTAAGCAGGGACCATCTACCAAGCGCACTAGTGACTGAAGACAGAAATATCCTCACCTGATAGGATGCAGAGCCAACATCCCTTCACCTGGAAATAGTGTTGGTTAAATTGGTGACATTAGTTTTGGCACCTCAATGGGTTATAGGTAGGCCTGCTCATATAGTATCTGTGTCTAAGCATTTGCATACAAATATGTGCATACATTTACCAGTTGAATGTGAATATGTATGCATATATGAATAGAGGTATGTATAGAGATATCAGAATGTTCATTTGTGTACTTGTGTGTTTATATTTTGGCGCATAATAATACTGAATTATAATGCAAAAAATATTGAGGCCTGCTCAGTATGTACTTATTATAGGCCTACTTATTCTTCTTTTACTTTCCTTGAGTAGATGAACAGACTTGTCTTTTTACTTGCACTTAGGTAAGATTTCATTTCAGTGATTGTATATTTACTAGGGTAAAATAATGTAGCTTTTTTCTCCACCCTGGATTATATAAATAATTTAGAAATTGAACAACATAATTTTGTTTTGGACATTATTTAAAGAGACTTGACATTATAATTGGGCGGATTCAAACTTAAATGGTAAAAGCACGCTTAAAAAAGTCATTAACTGTCAAGATTTACTTGCCCCTCAGTCTAAGCTATCAAAACAATGCATGAGGATCTCTTTCTCATATTTCGGATCACGACATTAAGGCAATCATAGTTTTGTCTCTAACTAGTCTATCTGCATATATTTCAAGATGTTGTTCATCCCTGCAAACCAACAGAATGAGTGTAAACATAACTGTCTTGCTAATGTTGCATGGTAAAAAAAAAAGTCTCCTATGGTCAACTTTCCCCGTGTATGGGGTAAGTTAAGCCATACACGGTTACACGGTTAAGTTATTCAACTGGTACAATCAATCGTTTTATTATTATTGCATATAACTGCTCAAAAGCTGTTTTTTAAAAAGCCATTTTAATATGAGAATGTCTTTGAATGATTCAGAACATTCACAGCTGTATTTTTGAAAAGGAAAAGTAAAACATTTCAACAATCTGAACTGAAACTCTGATCCTCTCATCAGACTCCTTTACTTTCTCAGTTGAGCCACTGGTTTAACTTACCGCAGATCAAACTGTTATGACTTTATTAGTCCTCTAAGCTAAAATGGTGGACTTTTATGTTAGGTTTTCGACCTCATGATGTAGCTCATAGTTACATAAAACAAATTTAAAATGATCTTTTTTGGTCTGAACACAATTCTAATAAAACTTATGACAGACTAAATTTACTTTCAATACAGAAAAATGTTTCTTTTTTTGTAAATAAAGGTCTAACCCCTTCACCCATGTGCTTCTAACCTTCACAGGCTCCATGAATTGATGCCCATCTCCTAAATATTTGGTCACATGATCAATTTCTTTTACTATTTCCAAGCAACAACTTACCCTTTGGCTCAACTTACCCCACTCTCCCTTATCTGCCAACTTCAGGGACGTCAAGAGAGAATAAGTTTCCCCTCCTTAACGCCAGTAGGATGGGCCGTTCGCGGTGATATAAAATCGAATAAAAAACGAGTGTCTTAATTCTTGTTGTATTGCGGTAATATGAGGTCACCACAGTCTGGGGTCCCTTCAGTTTGTTGTTCGCAGTAGTCCTCTGTTTGCGCTTTTCCTTTAAGCGCAGAAAAACCCCGGCCCTGACGTCAGCAGTAAAACCTGCTCCTTCTTCTTCTTCTGGGTGTCTCTGTCTGTCCGTCGGAAAGTGAAGTGTTGTTTGGCATGCTAGTGGTCCCGGAGTTTCTCTTCCTCTTGTTTGTCCGTCGTTTTTGTGTCGTCTTCGCAAATATAACATACGTCGCGGGGTTAATCGTTATAACTACAGAAAGACAGACCTGTAAACGATTTATGGGACGTTTTAATAAAGTTCCCGAAGTGCCTTTTGAGGAACCGGCGGACGGCGAACCGTTGCCGCGATGGATAAGCTAACTGATAGCTGAGTAGCGTTAGCCGCGACTCCCGGGTCAATAATAGGTCCAAGTTAGCATGCTAATAGCGAGCTAAGTTAGCATTTTGTCGGCTAACTTTGTGACTTTGTTAACCTGTAACGTCAGAACTACCCAGGTCATTTCTCGGGCCTGGCTTCTACATAGTTCGTCACAGGCCAACCAAGCTAACCCCAGGAAGAGGACTCATTCTTCTGTATTAACAGGGGGGGAAAGTAGACCAGATAAGTTTAGTTTCCAGGGGCGGCTGTTCGTCTCTCTCAGCCCAGACCGAGAGCATGCTGTCGAACGCACAGAACCAGCCGCTGTTTCCCAACCCGGCGGGACAGCAGAACACGGCCGGGCAGCAGAATCCGGGCCAGTTCCTCCCCTTCCACGCCAGACCCAGCTTACAGATCAAGAAGAACGCCATAACTGATGAGTACAAGGTGACCAGCCAGGTGCTGGGGCTGGGCATCAATGGCAAGGTGCTTGAGATCTTCCAGAGGAAAACTGGAGACAAGTATGCGCTAAAGGTAGGTTTGATTTAGTCTCACAAACTAGAAAGCAGGATATCTTTGACAATATCGAAACCTTTCATTGATGGTGAAACCAACGAATGTACAGGAAACTTTGTGTGCCCACCTCAAACTGTTCATTTCTGAAGCTATTCCAGTGACAACCAAACTACCTACACTCTTTCAGGGATGATTAAAGGTCATTCTTTTAAGCTTCTCAAATAAGGTTCATTTCTTGTTATACATTGGCGTGTGATGGGAGGATTGAACGGACTGCCCAATAGGTGTTGAGGTTGCTGGTTGTACAAAACTAGAAGTTTCGAAATGGAAAACTTCTACAGAGGTCTGATTGATTGATAGATAAGCAGACTTGGTTTCTTGGTCATGTGTTGTCCTGTGAAGCTCAGTTAGCAATGGTTAGAATTCAGGTATTTGCAAATGACAGGTAGTTTGGACTCCTCATCTGATAATGTAGTTGATAGTTTATGTTAAAAGTGAAGAATGTATTTGATTGTTTGAATATGGACAACTGGTTATTATTTAGTGACACAAACTAGAAAGCAGGATACCTTTGACAATACTGAGACTGTTCATTGATGGAAAGACCAATGAATGTACAGGAAACTTTGTGTGTCCGCTCAAACAGTTCATTTCTGAAGCTAATCCAGTGACTACCAAACTACCTACACTCTTTCAGGGATGATTAAAGGTCACTGTTTTAAGCTTCTCAAATAGGGTTCATTTCTTGTAATACATTGGCGTGTGATGGGAGGATTGAACGGACTGCCCAATAGGTGTTGAGGTTGCTGGTTGTACAAAACTAGAAGTTTCGAAATGGAAAACTTCTACAGAGGTCTGATTGATTGATAGATATGCAGACTTGGTTTCTTGGTCATGTGTTGTCCTGTGAAGCTCAGTTAGCAATGGTTAGAATTCAGGTATTTGCAAATGACAGGTAGTTCGGACTCCTCATCTGATAACGTAGTTGATAGTTTATGTTAAAAGTTAAGAATGTATTTGACTGTTTGAATATGGACAACTGGTTATTATTTAGTGACACAAACTAGAAAGCAGGATACCTTTGACAATACTGAGACCGTTCATTGATGGAAAGACCAATGAATGTACAGGAAACTTTGTGTGTCCGCTCAAACAGTTCATTTCTGAGGCCAATCCAGTGACTACCAAACTACCTACACTCTTTCAGGGACGATTAAAGGTCACTGTTTTAAGCTTCTCAAATAGGGTTCATTTCTTGTAATACATTGGCGTGTGATGGGAGGATTGAACGGACTGCCCAATAGGTGTTGAGGTTGCTGGTTGTACAAAACTAGAAGTTCCAAAATGGAATACTTCTACAGAGGTCTGATTGATTGATAGATAAGCAGACTTGGTTTCTTGGTCATTTGTTGTCCTGTGAAGCTCAGTTAGCAATGGTTAGTGCTCAGATATTTGCCAATGACATGTGATTTGGATTCATCATCTGATAACGTAGAAGATATTTTACGTTACAAGTTAAGAATGTATTTGACTGTTAGAGTATGAATTACTGGTTATTTACTTTTTTTAGAGATGCACCATTCTTCAGGGGTTATCTCTAGTCCCAAATCACAGGTGACAGAGTTTTGCAACATGGGAGTAGGACATAGGTTCTCAGTCTTCCAAGGAAAGAGTCTGCATTATGCAATCCGTGTAGGTGTCACTCACATCCACCATTTCATGCGAAAAGATCAAGAAGAGATAAGTGAATGTTTTTTTTAAGTTCAAACCCTCATGATTTAAATTTATGTTTTTTGTGTGCCCTTCAAATCAGATAATGGTTAGTGCAGGCTGTAAAGAGGCTGTGTAGTAAAAGGAACTTCCTCTGAAAATCACATTCAGCTTAGGTCAATGATTGATAAAGGGCAGACGTCACAGCAACTATCCACACACAAGTGACCTAAACAGGGCCCAGGGAAGCAATTTACCAATGATGAGTGGATCAGTTATTTATTTACCATTAAACACGCGGTTGCAGTGTAAAGTTTGTTGAAGTAGATTTTGCATTCTTCCTTATGTGAATGACAGTTTGAGAACATCCTGTGTAGTGGTTTAGACTGACATACTCTAACTGGGTTAACACCTTTTTACTCTGCTCACTTTGACAGACAGTGGTAAGTCAAACCAGTTGTGTTTGTCGGTCAGCCTTGTTACGCTGTGTTTGTCACTCTATATATGAAATTATTTTTCCTGGGCTTGTGTGTTTTCATAAGGCCTAAGCTGCTTCAGTTTCTGTCATACTGACTAATCTTTAAGACTGTAAAGTTCGTCGTAGTTTTGTTTCAGGTATACACTGACCAATGGGTAGTCTAATATACCCAATACACCAGGTCTACCATATTTTCTCCTTTTATGACACTTTTACATTTTAAATTTTTGTTGACATGGTCAGGCAGGTTTATTCTTTGAATTATTGCTGAAGTTGTCGTGGGTGTTGCTGGTATGCTGTTGAAGATGTTATGGGTGTTGCTGGTATACTGGGATGTATTGTTTTAAAAGGTACTCCTTATATTTTGCTCCCCTCATGTCTGTTCATGAAGTGGACAAAAAGGGAAAGGACCACTTTTCTGGGCTGCGCGTGAATTGACTATTCGGCATTCTTTATCTTTATGTATAGCTAAAATATCTTTAAAATGAGCAAATACACCTGTGCATGCTATTTATCTTCAGCTTGGATGACTTCTGCACATATCTTATTACCTGTGTGTTTTTCAGTAAGCACTGAAAGAAAACATTAAAAAAATGCCAACAAAGAAATATATCAGTCATATTACTTTTTACCAAAGAATATTATGCTCATAGTTTACTGTACGTTTTAAACCTGCCTGATGATGTATTTGTTGTTATGAACATTTATGGACTGTAGTTTTTATTTTTGGGAGAAAAGGAAAAATGGAGGTTTTATTTTTAGCTTATGTCGCCCAGTCCTGCAATAATAAATGTACACTACAATTATCACCTCTCTGATAGTTTCAGCAAAAAAACAGAAAATTGAGATGCTTCCTAAAAAAAGTATTTGTGGTAGAGTTGATGTATTGGATAACATTATATTACCTAGGTGTTCATGGTGTCATGGCTGTCTGGTATACATCAGTATCATGTTTGAAGAGCTTTTATGAGTGCGCTGTAACCACTCTTGGGTATTTTTAGACAGATATAGTCTGCTAGCCAATTAGAATGATTAAAAAATAATAATTTCACAACATTTTTTACATTTTTTTTAAAATTTACATTTCAGGTAACACAAGACAGCACCACAAACAACAATGTCACGGCTACACAGGACAGAGAAAAAAATTAAATAAATAAAACAAAATAGAATTTATAAAAAAAAGGGAGAAGAGGGGTTGGTGTATGCTCCCAATGCTTGTGTTTAAGTAATAAAAGGCAGTATAACAAGATGTCTGCATTCGTACAAGGTACATAGCAAACACGATGAGTCAAGCTACAACATGTTACAAGCATCACATTTTTTTCACTTTACATCACAGTACATCAAAACAAAGGAAATCCCTAATATGATTGTGAAGACAACACACCCTGTCGCATCTGTTTCCAAATTACCTCAGATCTTACTTTATTATCATTCAGTTTGTCTGTGAGTCGCTCCATTCTTACAAGGTTGAAAAACTCAGACAAGAAGGTTTCAATAGAAAAACAATTTGGTGTTTGGGAATTTTCCAATTAGATAAGATCTTTCTCTTGGCAGCTAGAAAAGCTATGCCAACTGTTTTCCTTTCCCGTTTGGTTTTCAGCTGTTTATCCCTCTGGCCCAACGAACACAACGCTGGACATGGCAAAATATTAACATTAACAATCTTTGAAATTAACTTGCAAACTCCTTTCCAAAACAAATCAACAGCAGGGCAGAACCACAACATATGAATCAGGTTTCCCACTTGTCCACATTTATGCCAACACAGATTTGAGGTACTTGGGTCTATTTTATTAAGTCTAGAGGGAGTAATATAGGCTCTGTGAAGAATTTTCAGTTGTATTACTCTACCTTCGACCAGTTTGGAAATCGTTTTCATGTCACACCAAATGTTTCCCCACTCTTCAGGAGATAATTGAACCCCTATGTCGCGTTCCCATTGTGACTGTCTTTGAGTTTGGATTTGAGGTGGAATAAAGTAACAATTTGTATAAACTTGAAACTATTCCTCTATTTGATGACAGAACTTTGAGGTTTTTTTTTATTAATTTCATAATTATAATCAAAATAGGTTTTAGGACATTTAGAGACAATTGATTTAAACTGGGAGTACTGTAAAAAACTTTTGGTATTCAGGTTCGTGTTATATGTTTTTATAAGTTCTTCCAAGGGGAGAATCTCTCTGTTTTCTACAATTTAAGAGATCTCTACGGTATTGTGATTACACCATTCGTTATTAAACAGAGGACTCCCCGCAGCTTTAAAGGCGTTGTTAAACCATAGTGGGGAAGATGGGAGGCATGAATTTGCAATATCTAATCTTTTGTGAATTTCTCTGCCTATGTCACATGAAAACTTATTAATGCAAATATCCATCTTCTTAGGTGGGACAGGGCTGTACCAGAGTGAAGATATTGACACTAGTTTGTTCCTTTCCTTTACAAGATGTTCTTCAAGCCAATCCCAGCTTCCTTTGTCTCTAAACTTTTTATATCCTCAAGTAATTAAGTATCTGGCATTAGAAGAAAGATAATATAAATAAACATCTGGTATGCTGAGACCCCCTTTGTCTCTTGGTAGGGATAATTTTTTTCTAATTAATTCTAGACTTCTTATTGTTCCACAGAAAAGAGGAGAACAATTTATTAACACTGTCAAACCAGGACTTTTCAATAAACAGAGGAATAGATGACACTAAAAAATTCAGTCTGGGAAGGACATTCACCTTTAGCATTTCTGCCTGCCCCCATAAGGACAGAGGCGGGGCAGGCCATCTTTTGAGGTCTTCCTGTATGTTATTCAATAAGGGTTTGGCATTTAAGTCCACTAATTCATTAATGGATGATCTGATTTTCACTCCGAAATATGTCATACCTTCTAATCTCCAAATAAAAGGGGCAGAACCAAGATCATTAACATGTGTAAATTTGTTTAGGGGAATGGCTTCACATTTGGTCAAGTTTATTTTATAGCCTGAAAGTTTGCCAAAATGGTCAATGGTTTCTAAGACTTTGGGTAAAGAATGTAGAGGATCTGACCACGTCAGTAAAATATCGTCCCCATACATATTTAATTTGAAATCATGGCCACCAATACAAGTGCGTGTAATCTCCTTATCCTGACGAATAGCACAAGCCAATGGTTCAAGGGCTAAAATAAAAAGCAACGGGGAAAGGGGGCATCCTTGTCGAGTAGATTGCCATAATTGGAAGGGAGTTGAGAGTATTCCATTACTTTTTATTATAGAGACAGGTTCTTCATATAACACTCTTGTAGATATAGAGCCCTCAGACTGAACATGGAAACACTTCAACAATACCCTATCGTTCTGACCAAAAAAGTATTTGCCCTACAAAAAGGGCCATGTTTTTCAGGGACTGATAAAAGTAATGTCTCACCATGATTTGATATTTTCACTAAATGAATGATTGTTCTACTTTTTTTTATTGCACTTTATGGACTTTTCTACTTTCTCTTTCAGACTGACAATAAAACATGATGGAACACAATCAGCAGCCTCTATATGGTTCAATACATGTCCCTGCTCTGGGTCCAAGATTCAGGGGGAACTGGTGTCTCTGGAACTGAAACTTTGTCTTGGTCCTTTTAGATTGTAAATGTCAAGAAGGGAGTAGGGAGGCAGAAAGACAAAAGAGGAATAGAGGGTGTCCTCAACAGGGTGTCCTTATTTACATTTTACCTTGACAATTCCCTTATTGATTCCTTTCTTCCTGGTGCCTTGAAAAACGGTCTCGCGAGTGTGCCACTTTACACGAACGGGAACAAGGAAAGAGGAAAAAACATGGCGGACGATATGAAAAGTAGGCAGAAACGATCTAAAGAGTGGCTTAATTTTACTAAGAAAGACGACAACAGTGCAACATATGTGGAGCAGTGATAACTTGCAAAGGTGGACACACCAGCAACATGCTTCAACATTTGTCAAAGGGGCATGGCATCAAATATAAGGAGTCACATGTATTCGATGCTCTTCGCCGGTGTTCTGCCGTAGAATGCACCGCTGCCGTAGAATGTACCCCCTGCATCCCATCCACTCATTAGCTTCTTAAAGTGGAAGAAAATGATCTCATATTTAAAAACATGAGTATTCGATCATGACATCATGTCAAATAGAGCAGCAAATTTTCGTTCTGTTTTTATGTGTCTCAAAAATGCACTTAAAGAGATGTACTTGGGTATATTAACTCTACAGTAAGCTGTCAAGGTAGAGAACATTATATTTTTGGGACAGCAAATATTCCGAATCAGAGGGCTATCGTTTTTTTGGCTTATCTGAACAGTCTGAATGAAATCATTAAAGGCACACGCTTTTGAATCCACCCAATGGTAAGGAAAACTTGGATTATTTCGCCTTGTTATGTACTTTCAACCGTGCTCCCGTCAGGGGTGCATTCTATGGCACAACACCTGTTGAACACCAGTCGTCAGCCGCTGCAGCCCCGTCTCAGCACGGCATTGAAGGTACATATGATAGGGCGACCATATGTCCTCTTCCTCTTTTACTCGGACATGTCCTCTTTTTTTTCTCCGAGGGCAGTTTATGTCTTGAACGTGTATTCATTTATTATAAAACAGTGCGGCGCATCAGTGCTCTCTGCAGCTCTGCCCCTTCGCTCACTTCTAAGCAAAGCCACTCACGCGACGCACGCATGCACTGTCTTTGGGAATTCAACTGAGTTGGAAGTACATGAAAAAACACTCGACCTGCCAAAAAAAATAAAAACATCTCAAAATTTCGTACACAAGTCCGCCCCGCGTAGTAGTGTCCTCTTTTTGGGGATTTAGAATATGGTCACCCTAACATATGTCCTGTGTTAACATTAGCACAATGCATGCCAGAAACGCTGTACAAATAACATTTCTGTTTGATTATTTTAGACTCTCACTCATACATATGTTTCTGTTATCAGAGACTCAATACAATTTTAAGTTAATGGTGAAAACCTATAGTCTACTTTTTTAATCGAAGAAAGGCATTGATAAGGGAATCGTTAAAGAATTGAATTGATAAGCAGAATTATTAATGGCATTGATATCGATAAAATCTTATCAATTCCCATCCCTATTTTTATACGAAGTAATTACCCCAGAAACACCAGAGTAAAAAGTTTGACTCTTGAGAAATCACATTCCACAAACTACTCTCAGTTGATCCTGAAGTATTCCGTTTTGGATTTTTTAATGCAACCAGTTTGGTGACCAAAAGTGTGTGAAATGTAAAAATAAGTAAAGCGATGTAGTGTGTGCTGAGATGGAAGAGTTGGTGCTGAAGGTGACAGATTCTCAAAACGAGCCAAAGAAACCCATTTAAAAAAAAAATTAGAGTACAGAAACAAAGACCGCTCACTGCATGTATTCAACAAGGATTTAAAATGAATAAATCCTTAGTGAAATTCACAGACAAGTAGATGAAAATATAACAGGACCCAAAATGGGTGGTAACTATTTCAGTGTAAAGCATTTAAACAGATGGCCTCAGAGCTCCCTCTCTTGATTTCTCGTCTGTGAAAGGCGCTGTATAAATAAAGTTTACTTACTTACTTACTTAGATGGAAATAGTCTTTTTACATACACAACAACACACACACGCACAGACTCTCTTTTCAGTATGAGTTGTTTGTGATATTGTAGCTTCCCTGATGCCTTCTCATGCTTTTGTGAGACAGACTGCTGCCAAATATATTTGTCACCTTCACTGATGAACTAATGAACTGGCGCCCTTCATTGACGTCAGCTGACTCAGCCCCATCTCATCCATTGCATTTATTAGGTTTGCAGTATCCTATCTGCCAGCCTGGCCCCAAGGTGATATCACCTTGTAAAACGTTCACCTGTCTCCTGCACCACGTTTTATGCGAACAGCTCAGCGGAATAATTTGTGTCTGAGAAATGGAGCCACTGTGAAACATTTCTTATACCTTTCTATATATTATGCTTGATGCATTCTGTATTAAAACGTCAGTATCTTTGACTTTTGTCTGAGGTGAAGCTCTGCTCTCTCCTGTGTTGATCGGTCTGCCTTTAAACGACCGTGTCACAAGAGGGTGTGAGTCATCTTCAGGTATCGTCTTACAGTGACTACATTTACATTCACACAAGAAACCAGGTTATCTAAAGCAATCAGGTGAAGCCCACATACGTATCCAAAATAGCACAATTTAAATACTACAATGGGTTAGGGTTGCCCCTTGTTGTTACAGAAAACTAATAAGGTAAATGAAACCCTTTCCCTGAGTTCACAGTGATTATGTGCATGAAGGTCCAACTGCCTGCAAAATGCTAACACTTGCATGATCATACAGCTCAGAGCTATACCCTCATCTGAGGTTGACTCTATTTAGTATTGTGAAAAGAGAAATAATGCAGATTATGTAACAAGGTGTTCCCATCTAAACTTGAACATAACACAAACACTCAGTTCCTAGATAACGCTGCGGGCTACTGTGAGGTCAACTTCTTTTCCTGACAGCACAACACTGTGTGTGGCAAAACTCAGAGTCAGGACCTCCCATTGTGCCAATGCAGTAGTCAAATAATCTTCTGTGTGACACTGTTATTTAATTTATTTGGCTGGAAAATGGAGAATGCACATGGGGCCACTCTTAAGGGAATTTATTTCTTAAGGATAATCAGTTTTTTTTTACCTTTTTATGAGACATAAAAACAAGGCTATTACTTATTTTGTTTTTTTCCTATGTTACTTGTGATGGATGTTTTCATTTCAGTCTATGGATAATTTGTCTTTGATACCTTTTTTTCTCTCTCCATTTTATAGCACAGCAGGTGATTTTTTTTTCCTGGTCATTTTAAGTTGCAGCAACAGAATGATGGGTAGTTGCATCAGCACATATCCTGCGATGTTCAGTTGAGAATAGGACTTGACAATTAATCCAAACTTCACTACAACTGACACACTCAACCTCCAAAGGCTGTTATTGTGTTTGATTAGAAGAAAGTGTAAATGGTCTTTATGTTCCCCTCAATTATTCTAAAATCAGAATGAAAAGATTAGTGCTCTCTTATGAGAGAAAGTATCCCAGCTCTAATAACTGAGTGTGTTTATAGTTCAAAACTTATCAATGAACTATGAGAGTAGAAAATTAATTGTGTAATTGTATTTGATTTGAGGTCGTCACTAGGTAGGAAGTTGTGAGCAAGTTTGTTCAGCCAGGCAGCGACAGTGTTGTATTTACCTTAAGTCAGACACAAAATGTGTACACATATTAGGAAGAGCCAAATAATATTTTCTTCACACAACTAGAAGTGAAGAGTTTGACAGTAAGGCTCCAAGATCTTTTTTTTTATGTAGGACAGTCTAGCTTTGTTTGATAAGAGTACATGAAAATTCATTAGGAAGAAAAGGCGACTTTACATACAGTTACTTTCTCTCTAAGTTTATGAACATGGGTTTCTTTTATGTCCAGTAGACTCCACTTAGTGACAGGCCATTTTGTTCCTCATGGATGTTGTTGCATTTGTTGTAACAGATTTTGTTTAATCTCTACAAACCCTGACTTTAACTGTAGACTTGTTTTATTCCTGCTTGTGGTTGTTTGATCAATCCTAAGCTGGTAAAATGTCTTACAACATATGATTTGATTGAAGTTTTGTTTTCATACTGTTTTAAAGCCGAGCCCTCTGAGGTTTGTTGGTTGACCTGAACATTTTTTTTGCAGTGGTATCTGACAAACTGTCATGTCTAAGTTGGGAACAGGTGTTCAGCAATGACTCTTTGGTTTAGTCTGGTTTTGCTACCCTGTTCCATGTATGTGTCATTAAGCTGACTTGACCTGAGACACTATGACTAATTGGTTTGGCTTGTGTTTACTACACTCGGCTGTACAAGTTTAAATGTAGACCATTGAATGTGTAATTTTATTTTGACTTCTTTGAGACACTGTCCACTATTAGTGTATCAGTGGATTATTTTTCATCTGTAATGCTCTTCTTGCTGAACTTTCTCTTCATATTGTACCTGCTTCCTATACATGTGTGAGCACTATGTGATCTCACTTGTTTACTTAAGGCAAACTTATCTCAAATTCAGTTGTATTCACATATTTACTCAGTAATGATGTCAATTTACTAGGCCTATCAGAACTGGCCATATTGGCTGTTATGTTGAGCAAACTGAACAGCCTGACAGCATACAGGATCCTCTGTTTGCTCTTTTCCACTGTACTGATCAGTTGCCTCTTTTGATGAGGGGTGTTAAGGTGAAAGTAGAAGATTCAGGTACATCACTGATCTGCTGTCAGCATCTGCTGTAATGAAAGAGTGTAGACGACATCTTATGTGAGACAATCCCACTTTTTTCACATCTACTCTAAAGTGCTTAACGCTAGAAACTGACTGTTGAAGTCTTGATTTGCCAGACAACTGCATATAAAAACTTTTAAAGACACGATATGCCAGCTAATGTAAACCTGACTCACCATCTCTGCTGCCCAGTTACGTAGTGACTGTCATTGGTGAAGCTCTCACTCCTGTGACTGGTAATAAGGTCATGCTAGATAGCTGCATCTAAGTGTCTTTTTTGTGAAGGAATATAAACTTTCATGTATCATTGTCAGTTTTTTAAAAATCTCCCAGAATACATCTGAATTTGGGCCTGACCGATTTATCGGCGAGCCGATTAAATCGGCCAATTTTAGCCCTTTGAGCGACCTCATGACAATCTTTATCCACTAACTACCTCACAGCACAGCAGAGTGACGGATCTGAAGCAGGCAGCTCAGGGTCATGGAGGAGAGTGGTCCGCCACAACGGTAAATAAACCAATTTGTGAAATACACAATAAGTCAAGTTTCAGTTCAACCCGCTTCACGATGTTCTCCCCTGTGCTGGTCTAGGTCACGCAGAGTTAATGGTGAAGCACCATGTAATATGCAAGTTAAAGTTAGAGTTAGCCATCTGCTATTAGCCTTGCTACACTGGTAGCCGTGCCGGTAACGGTAGAATAAACAACAGTACACATTACGTGATCGAGCTACTTCTCTTACTGAGGCAGCTGCATGTCTCCAGATGAGTACCGGGCCAAAAATGAGTAACGTGAGTTAAGATGCGGAGGCGCCGATCGGCCGGGTGGGGTGGGGGTAGTTGAAAACGCTTTTCTGGTCCGAGTTTGATCAGTCAGTCTTCCTGTCGGCATGAAGAGCAGGCCTAAGGCGTGGTTTATGGGATAATACATGAACGCAGACATTCAAGAAGAGAGAGGTTCAAAGAGGCAAAAAAAGAGCAGGAGTCAAGGTTTGTGGAAAAGGAAAGGGAGCAGGTTAAAGTGGTCTGTGAACAAACACTACAATAAGACAGATAATTGGAACAGTTACACCCAGGTGAAGTAGAGTGTCAGATATTTTAATAAGGAAAAATCCAGCACAAGTATGCTGTTATTTTCAGGAAAAGCTGCAGATAGTTTTTGTTTGATGACATGACACTTCCTGAAATTCAGATAGATGTGGAAGTCCACTGCTGAGGTTAACACACCTGCCGAGGTTTTGCTGAGGAGAGGAACTGTCACCATTTGTCCGTTTCGGTCACGGTTTTTGTTGTTTGTTAGGTTTTTATTTCCCAGTGTTTCTCTGGCTCCTGTAGAACAGAAGAATTTAGTTGATTTTGTGGGGATATGAAGCATAGCATATGAACCGGGCATACACACTGTCATGTCTGATTAAAGGTTTAATAGAGATAAAGAGGAAGAGCCTGGCCCAAGCCTGAGTCATGAGGCGGTGAGAGAAAGGAAGGAACAAGAGGGAGGGGGAGAGGAAGGAAGAGGTTCTCTGGTGGCCCTCTTTGATTTATTTTGCTTCATCTTACTGTTAAATTCTGAGAGTTGCCTTTCAGATACCTTTTTTCTTTTTTATGCTGGAAGAGTCCCCGTTCATTATTCAACACAAAACCACTGATTACCTGATGAACAAGAGTAAACTCCCCCTCAGCATCAAAATAATCCTGTTAATGAGAGTTTTGACTCACGAGCTTAGCCTTTAGCAGTAACGCTTCAGTGTTTTTCTCTTAGTTTTTCAGGGGCATTCGGGGATCATTCAGATACTTATATTTGACACTGCTTATTTTTGGTGATAGTTATTGATACCGTTTTTGAAAGCAGCAACTCTTCTTAAAGGAGCAATACGTAGTTAGGGAATGCTTGGCAATTAAAAAGACACTACAGTCTGCATTCAGAACATTGAAGAGCACTTAATGCTGAGCAGGGCCAATATCCATTCATCCTTTAATTATTAATTTATTTGGTGACAGCTTTTTTTTTTTTTTTTTTTTTCACTTTAAATTTGACATTCTTAAAGACATTAATTATCATAACCTTTAATGATTTCTCTGAAATCTGTTATTTTCACAACTGACCTCACTGCAAGAAGGTTTGGAAGGGAGGACGCACAGTTAATACAGTCTTTACTGATCTTGAAGAAGAATCAGCAATAACATGGAACAAATAGCATAACGAATTTCAGTATTCTCAGTTAACCCCCTTACCCCCAGTGATTTCCACAGACTTACACTGTGTGTCACTAGAAACTACGAAAGCAATGATCCCTTAATTTATTATAAGCAGCAGCTGCTGTCTAGCTACCATGTTTTAAATTATTCAATAATAATAATAAGTGTCCCTCTAGTTAATCTGTACAAACAGTGAAATTTCAATTTTAGCCACATTTGTTTTATGCACGAAACAGTGACAGATTGGGAACTGAAAGCAAGCATCAACTCACCAACAGACTGTAAGAGTAACCATGAAGTGGAAGAGCTAATAACAATTCAGACGAGAATATCAGTTTAAATCTATGACGGTGATTTTATGTGAACTAGCTTTCGTAATGTCCCTTCCTCAAAGACTGTTGTGACCATGTTTTAATTCAGAAAAAGGGGAACCATTTTCATAGCTTTTGATATACCTACTTGATATGACCTGAAGGGTATTTTGAAATTAATTACAGTTTCCCACGGTCCAGAGAAGTCTGTATTACAGGTGTCAATGTGGAGTTAAAATTTTAAGTCCTATCTCATTGTAAAATGTGAGGACATGTAAACCTCATTCATTCACTTAAGTGTATTTCAATTCAAATGAGCTTTATTGGCATGAAATATCAGGGCAAATATTGCTCAAGCATAAACAGTATTACACATTGATCAATATGCAATAATAAGTCAATGGGATTTTCATTTGATACAATTTGTGTGTGTTTGATGAAATACCGTGAACGAATAAAATATGAAGTAGTGACTCTACATGCACACTCTGATTTAACAGCTCCTCTGTTTTTGGGCTCTAACTGTTTATGTGAGGCAGAAACATACTGAGCTGCTGGTCCCTCACCTGGGAGGACTGACAGCCTCTTCTTGTAAAGTAAGGTTAGGAAATTTGAATTAAGATAAGTCTGTCACATGGGTAGTTCACATGGTTGAACTAAAAGGAGAACAACATGCCTTTCTATTTTTCTTGTTTATTTTTCAGGGTAGCTATGCCTATGACTAGTCGATAAAGTACTTGCTGTAAGAAAACTGATGATGAAGTCTGATAAGTGCCCTAAAGATCACATAGTAAGTTTATGTGTGGCATGTGTCACAAACAGATCTTGAACTTTAATTTGCTTCCTTTTTGGGTTGTTAGATGTAGTTAGAAGGATGTAGTTGTGAGTGACAGACTCCAAAGTAATGGCCATTTGTGTCTAATATAAAGTAATTTCTAAACTGACACAGCCCTGTAATAATCTTGTAATGCAGAATACTTCCTGTGCTGCCAAAGACAACACCGGATTTCATAATTCCACATTTACTGGACTTTTTCTCAACCTGTGACTCACTGTTTCTACATAATTTCTGCTTTGGTCTCATGACCATTTACTGAGTAGACAGTTCCTGGGTTGGGTAGTAGGGCCAAATGGTGTCAACCATTAAGGGAAGTGAAATTATTTCTCTCTTCCTGAGTTCATTCTTTAAAATGCTTTTTGGTCGAAGTTATTACATGCTGAAGTGTGAGTAAGCCTTGGAAGATTGGGTACAGCTATCTAGTCTGAATGCAGAAAACCCCCAGCACTTCAATATTTTACTAAATGACAGTTTATCTTGTCATTTATCTTGTTTGTAAGTCAGAGCAAAACTAAAAAGTTCAGAAATGTTTGTAGTTTTCAGACAGGCTCACCAGTTTGGCCAGTTTATCACTCATCTGCCCGCTTGTGTTTCTACGGTGAAGCCACAGGTATTATCTTTCGCATCAGACACACACACACAGAGGGGAATTCACACCATGAATCAGAAATGTGAATTACGGAAGTAGTGAAGGCAAGGCAGCTCATGAGGACAGAAGGAGAGGCAACCGCAAGTCTGCTGGATACCTCAAGTCAGTCTTAGAGTTCTTTTCTGCACTGACCTGTTCATCATCTCACAGGTCTTTGTCAACACATCACCAACACTATGTACTTTGTCACTCTATTTGTGTCCCTGTTGATCTGTAAGCCTCTGTGAGGAAGAAAGACAGCTGTTTCTGTGTGTCCTACAGATGTCATTTTCTTTCATTTCCTCCCTCTTATCATGGTGTGTGTTGTTTGCCAGGACACCTGCTGGCTAATGATACTCACCTGCAAACTAGCCATCTGTCTTCATGATGAAGATGTGACCGACAGAGCTTGAACTGCTTTGTTGTGGAGGGTGATATTGTTTAATCTTATCTTACAGTAGGAATAAAGAGTATTATGAGTCCTGTCTTCAACAGTTTGTTCAACCTGGATGTGAAGGGAACTGAGTAATTTCGATCTCCGTATTTGTTTGCTGTGCAGACGGTGTTATTCTGCCTCAAGTAATGCAAACAAACCATACTCTGCCGCGCAAACACAATAATGATAAATACAAATATATGATAGCACCAAATATACACAGCGTCCTTTAGGGGCTTTTCTGTAACATTGTAATGTCAATAACATGAACCACTGATTCACACTGTCAAGGGTACTGCTGGTCTCAGTGGTGCCTTAACATTAAATCTAGCCTTATCTAAAAAAATAAAAAATAAATATGAACGCTTTGGTCCTTTGCAATTTTAAAAAAAATCATTTTAAATAATGATCTGAATTTAACTCTCTTTTTGGCTCACAAATGTTGCTGTTGAATGATGCCAAATAACTTAAAATACTGCATCATATAAAATCACACATGATATTCTAATGCTAGTGCAAACTCTCAAACAGACACATGTGGTGGTCCTGTCCAGCTCAGCAGCTGTCTTTAATCACATCATGTTGTATTGACACACAGATCCACAGGCACCTCTTTTGGTAGATTGTCATTGAACTCTTTATGTCGGTTTAAGAGGCTTTTTTGATTGAGCCAAGCTTAACCTGTCACCCCTCTTCAACTCCCCTCCACAGATTTTTACTGACCCATCACCCGCAGTGTGAGGTTATTTTTTTCCCTGTCTGATCCAACATTTCTATGATCAACCTGGGACTCCTCCCTAGCTCGTGAGTGGCAGGTGGAGGATGGGTGCTCCTCTGCCTCCCCCCGGTCCAGCCTCCCACTGCCCCAAGCTCAGGGGGGCCTTTGTTGTTTGCTAAAGGAAGTGTATTGTGTGCCCATCTGCCCCCCTCATCTCCCTCCTTATCCACAAGCTTTGCTGTTTAGCCTCAAAGGGCCAACAGCAGATGGGGAGACCAGAAGAGAGGTGATGGGGGTGTGTTCTTGTGTGCGTTTATGATTGTGTATGTGTGTAGAGGTTGGTGTGAAATGTTTTTTTGTGGAGGGACGTCTGCTATATTTAGATGTGCTAATTTTAGTTTCGCTGCATGGCTCTTGTTTCTAGTACATGCATTTGCATACAGTATGTCTTTCTTTCAGTTTTTCTGGATGGTAAGAAATTTGAGTTGTAATTACAGATAATTATTGAGTATTTATTACCGATAATTATTACAAATACTCTAAAATAGACTGTTTAGTACAACACTGAGCTTATCCAAAGTTTGAACTTTGCAGTCATATAAAAGTTAGCAATGTGCACTGAGACAACTCTGCAGTTAGTTTAAAGAATACAGTAGTATTGTATAGTAATAGTAATGATCACTGATTTCATGTATGTTGAAAATGGACTGTTCACTCAGTATAATGCTCCTTTGAAGTTTCCTAGTCATTTAACAATATATGTTACATGAACCCCTTTCATTCCCACTATTTGAAACTGACAGTGGAGGCTGGTAACATGCCCATCCAGATTAGATTTGCACATTTGCATAGAAACACACTGATGGCTATGCCTTCAGAAGAACTTTGGCTCTACCCTCTGAGCTACTGCCACACTGTTATTAGTCAAAGTACAAAAAAATGACAATTTAAAAGAGACAATACTTACCATTAGTGTGTTGATTTGCTGCAAAAAGAAACTCAGAAATACAAACCATGAATTAAATCGTTTCTTGATAATCTGATCTGTGTATTCTAAGATATTGAAAAAAAAAAGTTACAATTTATATTTTTTATGAAAGAAAAGTGCAGCCTTACAGTGCACAGATATATGTGTGTTTGACAGACTGATGCTTATCATCTTGGAGGTGATGTATTACTCCCAGACTTCTAACATTTCTGTCATAGTTTGTCCAATGAGCAACTTTTTTCTGTTTAGTTAAAAAAAAAAAAAAAATCTCAGAATCAACTGTTAAGCAAACTAGCTTGCTATCATTTAATTGATGCAACACAACAAATTAACACCTATTACTGGTGCGTGCCAGATTATTTGTCGACATGTCACTGTTTATTAGTGGATCCTGATGTTTGACCGGAGAAGTGGTACAACCCCAACCGGTTCTATAAATATTGAGATATTGAAAATAGAATTTATATCTGCCCTTTGATAACAATGTTTGAATAAAAATTTCCATCATTGACCTGTTTTGACTACCATCTGTGCCATGTAAGTGTAGCCACAATTGCATCATGTGTTTAAATTTTGAAACAACTTTCAGACTGCAGATTATCTAGTCTGTGATAAAAATAACTTACTACAGTACTGCATCGAAAAGGTAGCAATAGAGAATGTAGAAATCTAACATTTATGATTGACGTAGATAAACAAAATGATCAACTCTCGAGACTCTGCTTAACTTGGCCTGACTTGACTCGATGGGTGTGACCTCCGAACAACTGTTATGAAGGACTTGTTGCTGGTCAGGCTGTTGGATGATTTTTTCATAGGCCTTTGAACTTAAAAAAAGGCCGATTGATTTACTCTTTGTTTGAACAAGTGAGAATACTTTTAGATTCATTTTACCGAAAGAGGATCTCAACGTCTCATACAATCTAACAGAAGTGTATGACAGCAAGAGAGTCAAACTTATTTACCCCTCTACTCTTGGTCCTGCTGACTTTGAAATGGAAGGATCAGACGAAGCATCCTGAGCTTTAAAAACAAGGTCACACAGAGTCATGTTACTTTTAAGACGGAAAATCTGAAGAAAAAGCACATGATCGTTTTGGCCTAGTTTTACTTTCATTTTTAATCACTGGCACAATAAACTCTGGACTTCTGCCAATCCCAACAGTGATAATGCACTTCTTGATCCAGTTGTGTGAGGCTTTCTCCAAATTTATGAAACCGATTTCTAACAGCACAAATGTTTCATTTGTTAGATAGAAAATAGATTGCATTTTTACATTACATGTCACTAACTCCATTCACATACATTTCTGAGGACAAGGTATGCAGACTGCAGCGGCCATGAATCCAAACACTTGCCTTTTATCTGTGAACAACTTACTTTACCTTGCAAGCTCTTAAAATAGCCCTGTAAGTCTGTAAACATTAAAATAGATGCAGGTCAGAGACCTTGAGGCTTCTATGTTACAGTTTGGTTTTCCAGGTCCAGCCTAAAGCAGACCTGTTTGTGTTTTTACAAGGTTGATTTGTTTTGTTTGTTTCTTTTTGAGCTAGGTTGAGTAAGATAAAATAAACATAACCTGACAATGATTGGGGAAAAGGTTAAGAGCATAAGACAGAACAGTCAGTGCACTGGCATGCCAAAATCAGGTTGAAATCCCCTATTTGTACTCACTTGATTTCTTGAACATACTGTATTGTTTTCTCGCAAAAGATAAGAGGAACCTAAAAGTACAGAACACCGAGAAAACGGGCCATTTGTCGCAGTCATACCCTAAAGCTGAGTGTGTTTTGAGAGTTTTTAACTTCATATGTGTTGGTTTTATGTTGAGGCACTGCATTGACCTGCTCCACCTCTTTGACTAGAGCAGATGTTTGCACCAGGAATACCACTAGAGGGCGCTGTGAAGCAGTACACGGGGGAACCATGTTTAGATAAACTGTGCTGTAAATTAAAGGGAGTTAAAAGTTGGATAAACTAAAATATATAATAGAGGGATGCCCTAAATGTTTGAATTTTAAGACTCATCACAAACAATCACCTGTGGAGACCTAGAACTGCGATCACTAAGAACTTGAAATGACGTACAATTTGTTCTTTGGCTTGTAAATTTGTTTATTTTGTGCTTGGAGACTTTCTATACCTAATCCCTGCTATCTATGCAAGTGCAATATTCATACATAACACTAACATGCTATGTCCATATCAACACAATAAATATATTTTTGAGAAGCTTCCTTCATTACTTACTGATTATGCAGGTTTTTAATTTGGTTTCACAATGTGTGCATGAAAACAAATTTAGGAAAACCAGTATTTTACGCTTTGTGAGTGTAAGTATGAAGTGTACAAGAGCACATCCATGAAAAAAAGTATTTAAAAGTGACAAAAAGAAGCCTCTTTTGGTCCTCTCTGTAGGGTTGCACAGCCAAATATTTGAATTCTGATTTTCCAACAGTTCTCTTAGTTTACTTTTTCCACACAGTCAGCCCTGAGATGGAGTGAATGTTATGAGCAAAAATGTCTTTTGGTACTAAAATGTCACAACAGCAACAAAAAATGCTTCAAAACATAAGCTTAGTGGTAGGGGGCCATCAGGTGTAACTTACATGCAGCTTTTGAGCCAGCAGGTGAACGAGTAATATGCTTCTTTTTCAACATCTTGTATCTGTATGAGAATATTCTGAAAAGCTTGATCTGGCAGCAGTGAGAAGACTTTGTCCTGTCTGTCTAATTGCTCACTGGAACGAAGCCTACTGTTGTGTTGTGACCGTGGGCAGGATTGGAATGTAATGCACCACAGCTGAACAGACATCGGCTCATTGTCAGATCTACAAGGCTGAATTCTTTCTTTTGATTGACAAAGATATTTTGGGGTTCACTTGTATGTTGATGTGTGTCAGAAGCAAATTTGTAAACAAACACTTGCACTTACGTAAGCATAAGCAGCACTTTGAGTCGCCTCACTACAGTTAACAGCCTTGTTTTTAAGTAGAGGTGCAACTCCTCAATGTTGAGGAGTTCAGGTCAATATCTGTTCAAAAAAATTGTCAGTTTCATGTGACAATTTCTGTGGCATATACCTTTTTTTAAATTTTTTTTAAACATCAAGCAAGGTCATAATCCAGGACCCTCTTCGGAGTTATTTCTGCATACTTATCAGAGGCACACTATTGAACTAAACTCACACTCAGCTGCTTTTATATACACAGGTATCATTGGGTATTTAAAAACTACATAGATTGGAAGCGCATTTCCTTAATGTTTTGTTGTTATGGAGACACTATTTACAATTACTTGTTAGGTAAGTATTTTTGACTGAAAGGTTTTGCGTGTTTTGTATTGTCAACTAAAAGAGTCAGTTTTCAGCAGCAACGGAATAAACTTGTATGTGCCCTGCTGTTTTATGAATATGCTTTGTTTGCATTGTTTTGCTTTGTGTAACAAGAGAAACACAATGTTAGCTTTAGTACTGCAAACACTACAACACAGAATTTACCAACACTTACCCCTAGGGTCTGAATAATGCCAGGTTCCAGGGGGGCAGGGGTCGCCGTACTTACGTTTATACAAGTTATTTCACAAAAATTGGCTCTAGTTTTCTCTCTTGTGTAGGATGGTTGTAACAATTTGGGGATAAATGTAGCAATAAAGAGATAAATGTACTCAGTGACAGTACAGACTCTTGAGTTGCAGTTTACCAGATTGATGTACTGACCTAGCGACACACAAAGAGGGTGCTACTGTCATTCAAGACCGAATTTATACTTTCACACCATTACTTAAACGTTCTGTCAGCAGGGGGCAGCACTGTTCCTATTCTTTTATGTAAACAGTGGGTGTGAATTAGAGGTTCGGTGTCTAGTTTCTACATCATATTTGGTCCTGACTAATCCCATCATAACACAGCTGCTGTCCTGCAGATTAGTTTGTCATTATATCAACCGAGCCTCCTCCCCTTATTCTTTCCTTTTGTCTAGATGCTGCAGGATTGTGCCAAGGCCAGAAGGGAAGTGGAGCTGCACTGGAGGGCATCACCTTGTGCCAATATTGTTCGGATAATTGACGTCTTTGAGAACCTCTATCAAAGCAAAAAGTGTCTGCTTATAGTCATGGAGTGGTGAGTGCAAAGTTTCATCTGTCTTGTCTGCAGTGCACCTGTGGTCCTGACAATGAGAGGATTTTTGAAACATGTTTTAAGACGGCACAAACACCATGAGACTGATGTCCTCTGCTCAAACAGCTCTACAAACCTGGGAAGAGTGAGAGTTGAAGGGCCAGCTGGCAGAGCAGCAGTCGGTTTTTACCAGGTCTTGCACTGAGTAAGGTCTCAATGATTGCTCTTAGCATCAGTCTCATTCTTGGTAAAAAAAAAAAGTCTTTTAGAGTGAAAGAGGAAAGCATGTGGAGTAAAAAGAGTAGGCATGTGGAGAGATGCTAAAACAGTCATTGGCGTAAACAAGGCAGTTGCCAACCAAAGAGTGGTATTGGTCTATGTTATAACCAAATATAAGCTTAAGTCTTAATGTTATAAAGATAAAGACTTTAAAAGACTGAGCGACTCAGATCCTTTAGTTTTAATAACACAATGTACGATCACTCTTCTATGAGAGAAAGTCTCGCATTTCATGTATGGGCTTTAAAATTAAGTTATAGCTCTCAAAGTGAAGTGAGGAATTGAAACATGAGTGTAGCAATACACAGCGGTCTCTGGAGCCTGACAAAACGCCACTCTCTAGCCACAAATAATGCTCATAAATGTTCTTCCTTGAGCTGCCCCCCCTCTTCCCCCCAGTCGATGATGGATTGGTTGAGGTCTCGCTTCAAACAAGCAGCTGCTGCTGGAAGAGAGTGGGTGAGTTATCTTTAGTCTCTTTGCTAAAGAAATTAGTCAAAGTTAAAAAGATGTTTGGTGGCTAGTGCTATGGCTGGGACCCTATATGTACTGTTGACGAAGTTAGGCGCTGTTCTGAGCATTAATTGTGGCTTAGAGTGGCGTTCCAGTTGAGGTTTGTGTGTGGCTCCTGAGACCGCTATGTATTGCTATTGAGCGGTCGTTACTAAAGTTGGTATAACTAAAGAAGCAAGCAGTCTGCAACATTCATCTCTTGTAGGGGTGTCTAACTCGGTGTTACGGTGTGTTTGACCCTTAATCAATTTTACGCCGGCATATCCCCTAAGTGCATGTGATGCAGATGTGAAATCATGAGTAATTTTGTTTGATAATCATGATCTCAGTATCACTCAAGATAATTTGAGTCTGATTTTAGTTATAATCAAGCAGCCCTACTCACACATGCTTAGCATTATTACAGCACATACAAGTAATACATTTTTGTAGTCAAGTCCTATTTTTTGTTTATCATTGAAATAATTGGGACCTGTAAACAGCATATATTCTAAAATGTTTACTCACATCATCAGTATGGTTGACTTTAATAGAAATTTCTAGACCTCTCTAAAAATATTGTAAGTTGTTCATGTTGTGTTTCCATCATTTTGTTTAATTATTTCAAATCAAGCGTATCTGACCTTAGAGGAAAATGACCCATTTCTGCTAAATGATCTCGGTCAAATTTTCTCACTCGCCTTATTTCCATCTTGCAACATTTAACCACAGAGCCCTCCACAGCTTGTAAAACGTGCATTCATTAAGTCTGTGGTTAGCTTTGTGTAGGGGTAGAGAGCCCATTTCCCACACACATAGACACACATCAAAAAGTAGTTACATGAGTAATTTCCTCATGAAAGAACAAGTTCAGCACTGAATAGCAAAAAAGACAAGTATTTTTTATGAAACTTTAACATTTCCGTGAATGTACAAAGAGTATCTTTGTATAGATAGAGCTCTCTAATCTGTTTTCCTCCTGACACTGCAGAAGCACATTGACTCTGATCTTTATTCTGATGATAGAGTATTCCTCCATGTTGTGTCATGGGTGACCGTGTCAAGTTACCTCGAAATTAGGAAAATTCAGTGGGAGGAGACTGCACCTGTTGATATACCCTCAAATTTACCTCCAGACTATTGAATTTGTGTTTCTATAGCCTTGTATACAGATGGATGTCTGGACCACTAGTTAAACTTATCTTTACTTTGATTGATCCTCAGTCTAGTCAATGGTAGGTGGGTATGTTGGCAAATCATCAGTATTTTGTGATTTGATTTAACAGTATTCCATAGTAATATTTCTATACTAACTAAAATGTAGAAAAAGCGAGGCTGATCTTATTTAAAAAAAAAAAAAAGGCTGTCAGCACAACCTGTTAACATGATTTTTATAAACCTTGCATAGAGATCAGAAACTGTGTTTGGTGTGAACGCACCATTAAAAGGGCAATCAAAATCAATCCCGCAAGTGAATGACGTGCAGAGTTAATGCAAAGTGTTATTTTCTTCGGCCAATAGTTCACACCCAAATGTGTTCTGCTCACGTTTCATGAATACGGCTCAAAGAGAAGAGAGAAAAAGACAGCAAGAGCTGTGGATGAGATCACTCTGAGCTGCATGCATTGAAATTTACAATACCATATTAATTGTGCTATAAGGTATGCTTCCACTTTTTTTTTTTTGGTCAGAGTAATGACCTAGGTCTGGATCCTGCTGACATCATGGCCTCCCTCTGTTTCACTCAGACTGTACGAGTCTCTCTTCTCTATTTCTCTATTTCAAAAATGGTCAGAAAATACCAGAGTGGCCATAAATACTCCTGTGTACATGCACAGTTAAGTTAAACAACGGTTGCAGCTCGATTAGGAGATATGGCTGGACTACTGTCCCTATTTACAAGCCCTGGGTAATAATAATAATAATAATTATTATTATTATTGACAGAAGCATGTCTGCCTCTGCAGGGCTTGACACTAACTTTTTTCACAAGGAGCACATGTGCTCCTAAGTTGAAAAAGGAGCACACAAAGAACTTTAGGGGCACAATGAAAATTGATCAAATAATGTTTGTTTTATCTGTTGACATAAGTGCTTTATTTGAAATCAATTTTAGGTCTTTTGGTCACATGACATGGAAGCTATTGAAGAAAATTTTCAAAATTTGCCTTTAAATTTAACACAAAAAATTTATGAGGACAAATTAGGGAAATAAAGAGGTGTGTCTTATTTGTCGACCTAAGTATTAATATTTGAAATCAATTTTAGGTCAATTGGTCACATGACATGGAAGTTATTGAAGGAAAACAGCCTTTTCTGAGAATATCAACCAGTAATTTATTGATGGTACCTTAGTCAACACCCAATGTTGACCACAAGGATGCTGAGTAGCTTTAACCGCCCTGCTGTTGCTACTACCCGCTATGTAGAGTAAGAAGACACCGGTAGATCTGCAGTGAATGTCCATTAAATATCCAACATAAAACTAACTTCACCGTGGTATTTACATGAAAAAACATTTGTTGCCTCGGCTAATTTTTTTAAGCCCACATGTGCCCCTAAATACATTTTACAATCCGCACACATCTATTTTTAGACGCAAATGCGAGTGAAACGGTTATACTGTCGAGCCCTGCTCTGCTACAGTGGGTGGATACGTGCCCCCTAGCAGCTTGTTACTATGTTCATCTCCTGGTTAGTTTTTATGTACCAAAACAGTCAGCAAAAGGCTTTAGTAAGAGGCTAGTGGGGTGTCTGTCGAAGGACAAAAACCCTGTCTCTTTTACAGCCCTGTACCGTTTGTGTTTTGCACATAGACTGTATATACTATGGACTACTTGGTTCTGCCTACCGCCTGTATACTGATTTGAAGCCAAAAAGCTCTCAGAATTTCCGGGATTTTTCTTCATTTCCTGAAACCTGAAGCGCATTCGGCCGCGCAGTCGCAGAGAGTCGCTGTGATGACGCTCGGCTCAAACAGCGTATCCCCCGGGAGAGCTACGCAATCCCTGAACGCCCATAGGCTGTATCAGGTGTCAATCATAGCAAACCTGAACCCCCTAATAACTTCTAAAAACGGAGCTGCACAGAAAATAAAAGGACTTGAGCACAAACCAGTCTTACTGTAACTACGTGTCAACGTCACAACCAGGAGGGAGAAAAATTATGTTCTGTGTAATAAATTTCTAAAGTTTGTCCACAGCACCAAAAGCTTTGCTGGCGGAGGCGGATTTATGACCTATACTGTCTGCAGCCTAGGCCTGAACGATATATCGTTTGACTATCGTCATCGCGATGTACGTGTGTGCGATAGTCACATCGCAGAGCCTGCGATATTGGAGGTGAATGAACTCATTTAATTTCAAGGGTAACCGACTGAGATACACTCCATGTGACTCTGCATGTGCTGTGCAGCGATCCACCAATCGCCTTCGTCCTTAACTCAGTTGCCAATCAGACTCACTTCTCAGTTGCCAATCAGACTATCCTGCCAGCTGTCAATCAAAATCAGGGAGGAGAAAACCCACCCCTGCACATGTTCTGCACATGGAGGGAGACGTGTGTCTGCTGAGAATTACTTTCGGAACTTTACTCATGACTATTAAGCCCAACAAATAAGAACTCTATGGGTTTTAAATTGTACATTTCCGTGGACCACTCTACTATAAGCAGTGCGCGTTCTCGGAGGACATGCGTTTCTCGGCACAACACCGCTGACAACAACAACAACGATCGCAAAATGAACAACGAACAAGCGAAAACCACCGAAAATGAAGATTTGTTGCCAAAAAGAAAAGGAAAGTCAGTCATCTGGAATTATTTCGGTTACAAGATGGATAATGTCGACCAAAACACGTGTTCTGTGTTCACCTGTTGCCACAATAACGGAGCTGCACAGAAAATAAAAATACTTGAGCACAAACCAGTCTTACTGTAACTTCACGTGATCAACATCACAACCAGATTTCAGCAGTGCAGAAAATTATGCTATTCTGTGTAATAAATTTCTAAAGTTTGTCCACAGCACAAAAGCTTTGCTGGCGGAGGCGGATTTATGACCTATACTGTCTGCAGCCCATCAACAGAGGGTGCTGTTCTCGGAGTGGCTTCCCCCAGCGAGGAGGCAGACTCTGTCCATTCTATATACAGTCTATGGTTTTACATAATGAAAATTTCCAAGTCTCTCAAGGTTTTGTTTACTTCCTGGCTTCTGAGCAACATATCCATATAATTCACCTTCCAATGCCTTTTCTGTATACGCAGAATACTTAGGCCAGTTTCAGTATGAATGAGCCATTTACATGACAGAAAATTGATCCCTGTCTGCATTATCCAGGTTTATTAGTCCAACAATAAGAATTTTGATTTAGTATGATTTCAGTCAGACTAATGTTTTTACATGTTTTTAAAAGTCCACTTTCAGTCAGACTTACAACATATAAACGTACTGACTGTATACTGTATATTAATGGATAAAACTGAATTTACTTCTCCTTGGTGTGAATCTGTGCTGGGTGCATAAATAAAGAATTTAACAACTAAAACAAAGGACACAAGGTGGACCAAAGAGTTAATAAACATCCCCAATTCACCAAATGGCAGGACAATAAGTCTGTATGTTCAAAGTATATTTAGGGAGGACTCCAAGGCCCTCAGTCATTCTGTGCTTCCTGCGCTGGTCAGCCATCTTACTGTATAAAGCCAACAGTTTGTTGGCACTTGAAAAACAGATAAAGCTTAAGATACAGGGGACTGTTTCTCTGTTTATAAGGAAACAGAAGTCTTTAGAGATTGTGAATGTCATGTGCAGGGAGGGACGGGACCTTTTAGAGACTGAAAGAAGACATGCAGCTTCATAGATGGTAGCTGTCAGATTCAACAAAGCTTTTTGTGGCTGCTCAAACAAAATGAACCCATACGATTTATAATAAGGGGTTTTCCAAACGGTTCTGTTCTCAAGGAAGTATACCTTCTCATGCCTACTCTTGAGGCGTTTTCTGCACTGTACAAAGGGTGAGCGTGCATGTATCTGAGAGATGTGACAGCTTCAGCTGTGATCGTCTAAGATGCATGCTTACAACTTTCATTTTCATCATAAGTATTCAGTATCTATTCTGCTGAGAAATCACACCCGACCCTTTGAGGAAACGAAGACGGCAGGCTTGCTTCAGGATACCTCAAGTATCATCTCCACCTTTGACCACATAAGACAAACCATACATGTGTGAAAATCGTTTGCAGAATTAAGGGGTTGCCTCTCCAGTGGCGGCAATCACTTCACTGCTTCTTGGATATAAAAAAAAAAATGCTGCAACGGTTTGGTACCCGTTTCTCTGATTTGGAGACGTTTGAGATGATCTGTGGTTTGTCTGCGCTGTCTCAAAGGCATACACTCTTAAAAAAGCAGTTTATGCATATTTAGTCACACAGACAGAGAGAGAGATAGACAGATAAAGGCAAACTCACACACTGTCCTAGGCTTGTACAGTCATACTGAGCTTTGTGATTAAATGAAACTTGGAATCAAGTGTGCTGAATGCTGAATTTTCTCATTCTGCACATGACTCATGTTAACCACTTTTAGCTTTTTATGTAAAAACTTGTCCATACAATTAATTTTAAGTTGCTGGAGTGTCTGCTCTTTTCTTCTCTTCATGTCAGTGACTTCGACTTCAACTTGGACATACTTTTATTGTCTTTCAGTCTGCAGCAGGTGTATAAAGAACAAAATTTTGTTTGCAATATAAATATTTAAGGTGCAGAATGATATATACAGACTAGTGATTATAACAACGTGCAAGAACTGCAACGGGAATAAAAACAAAATGTATGCATATATCTCTACATATATAAATATATTACAGTCATTGGAGCGCAAAAATATGAATAAAATAAAAAAATATGCAGCAGAAGTCCAGTGTAAGTCCAGTAGCAGTGAGTATGGACAAACAGCAGTGAAATTTGAAGTGCAGAACACTACCATGGCCGACCCAAAGTCCTTGTGGAGAATCCTCGCTGGTGGCAGCTGTTGTAGATGTGTGTTTAGGCCATTGAGGACTATGTAAGGTTTTATTTGTGCTTAATGTTGTAATCGCCAAAAAGAGAGAAACAGTAACAGAGAGATCCAGTGTTAAAAACATCCACTGCTAAAAGCCAAGTTTTAACTTTTGTCAAAATCTTTTTTTCCTCTTCTTCTTTTTCTTTTTTTTTTCAGTATGGATGGTGGCGAGCTTTTTAGTCGAATCCAGGACAGAGGAGACCAGGCCTTCACAGAGAGAGGTAACAAGCTTGTTTTGACTTAGGATGAACACAACTTTCTCAATATATTCTGTAAAACTCCACATACAACCCCCTGGCAAAAATGATGGAAACAGCAGTCTTGGAGGATGTTTATTCAGTTGTTTAATTTTGTAAAATAAAGCAGATTACAGACATGGCACAAGATTGAAGTAATTTAAAACGGAAACTGCCTAGTTTCTCAGGAAACACTTCAAGAAAAAAAGAAAAAAAAAATCTGTAACAGTTTCTTTTTTTGATCAAGCAGAGGGAAAACATGATGAAATCACCCTCTAAATTTCATTTCCCAAAACTAACACCTGGCCCAGATTACATCTGTTTATCAGTCTGCAGTTAAACAGAAGTGCTCACACCTTTCAGAGCTGTTGCACCACATGGGTTGACATGAATCATGGCTTCAACATGAGTGATGTCAGTTGAAACAAAGGAGAGGATTATCAAACTTCTTAAAGGAGGTTAATCTTCACACAATGTCGCAAAAGATGTTGATGGTTCACTGTCAGCTGTGTCTAAAATCTGGACCAAGCACAAACAACATATGAAGTTTGCAAAAGACAAGCACACTGGTAGACCGAGGAAGACATCAAAGTGTCTGGAAAGAAAACATAAAGCATCATGTCTTGGAAACAGAAAGCACATAGCAAAACAAATGAAGAAGAAACGGGCGGAAACTGGAGTCAACGTCTGTGACCAACTGTAAGAAAACACTTAAAGGAAATGGGATTTACATACAGAGAAGCTAAACAAATGCCATCAGTAACACCTGAACAGGAAAAAAACAAGGTAACAATGGGCTAAGGAAAAGCAATCGTCATATTCGGTAATGAATCATGAATCTGCGTTGGGAAAGGTGGTGATGCTTGAACTTAAGTTTGGTGCCGTTTGAGTAAAAATGTCGAAGACGACTGCCTGAAGAAAACATGCACACTTCCACAGTCATTGGTGATATGAGGCTGCATGTCGTGTAAAGGCACTGAGTGGGGTGGCTGGCCTCATATCTTTAATAAATGCACAAGTTTACGTTGACATTTTTGGCACTTTTCTTATTCCATCAATCAAAAGGATGTTTGAGAATGATGACATTGTTAGATGATGCATCTAGCCATAGACCAAAAAAACGAAAACTTTCCTTGAAGGAAGACACATAGGGTCAATGTCATGGCCTGAAAATAGTCTGAGTCTCAATCCAATTAAAAATCTGTGGTAGAAATGGAAGAAAATGGTCCATGACAAAGCTCCAACCTGCAAAGTTGATCTGGCAACAGCAATCAAAGAAAGTAGTCAGACTGATGAAGAGCACTGTCTGTCACTCAGAGACTGCAAGCTGTCAGAAAAGCCAGAGGTGGTGCAACAGAGTACTGGTTGTGAGGTGGAGGGTTTTTTGTTTGTATTTCATGATTACATATTCATTTTCTCCCTGCATGATCTAAAAAAGAAACTGGTACTGACAACCATGTTTTTCTTGGTTTTCTTTTAGTGTTTCTTCAAGCCAGAAAGTTCCAATTTTAATAGAGCTTTGTTTTGTCTCATGTGTGTGATCTGCTTTTTTTCTGTAAAATTAACTGAATGAACGTCCTCCAAGACTGTTGATTCAATCATTTTTGCCAGGGGTTGTTTAAGTGGTTTAGTGTGAATGAACAGTATTTGGCTAGCATGTCTGCAAGTGAATGTTCATTCAGGTGACTCTAGCTTTATAAATATGAGTTTTTTTCTCTCTACTCCAGAGGCATCTGACATCATGAAAAGTATAGGCGAGGCCATACAATTCCTCCACGCTATCAACATTGCACACAGGGACGTCAAGGTTTGTGCCGTCAGGCTGCTGTTTGAAAAATATACTCGCTCTTTGTTGACAAATTGAAGTTTTTTTTCCATGGTTTATGATGGGTAACTCATTTTGAAATCATCATGCTCCTCTGTTTTGTCTTGCTGAATCCTCCCTGTAGCCAGAGAATTTACTGTACTCCACAAAAAGGCCCAGTGCACTGCTCAAACTCACAGACTTTGGCTTTGCCAAGGAGACGACTTCACATAATTCTTTAGCTACCCCGTGCTACACACCCTACTATGTTGGTAAGAAACTGTTTCTTTATGTACTCTAATATTCTCTGCACACGATGCTAATGACTGACTGAACTGTGATGTATCACTGATAACTAGGGGTGTGTCAAGATATCGTACCATGAGAGCTTGCGAGACTAAAGTTTAATGAGAGTTCACGTGGAGGTGATAAGCTGTCTTGTGAAATCAATACAGAGTTTTCCGAGGACAGCACTTGGTTTGTTATTTCCCACGCCAAGGAGGTTATGTTTTTGGTAGCGTTGGTTTGTTTGTTTGTCTGTCTGTTAGCAACTTTACAGAGAAAGTTACAGACGGATTGACCTGAAATTTTCACCAGAGGTGTGTCTCAACCCCAGGAGGATCCCATTAAATTTTGGTGGTGATCCGGATCGCCTTCTGGATCCAGGAATTTTTTGAAGGATTCTTTATCATTGTGAGATAGAGCAAATTTTGGAATTTTTGCATTTAACTCTATGAAAATGTCCAGAGTCTTTAGTAAAAAATCACACAAGAGGATCTCAATGAGTTTTATGAGGTGTCAAAGGTTGATCCTGATCCAGACAAAATTCCGGATACTGTGATCCAGAACACACAATTGTTTTAGGAACATTTTGAACAGTGAACGTAGCAGTTTAAACACAAATAAAAGTTAATAAAAGACACGTAACAGTAAAAGTTTTGGTGTGAATCACAATATAAGGGGGGACATGAGCTGCTTGGCGGAGATCTGCGCTCTCCGAGTGCTTTTCTAGTTAGGAATTGCAATTATTGCATCGTACTGATGTGGTGGTAGCACTGCATCAGAACCATTTCAGTGAAGCCGAAAAAAGAACCACCAAAACTGCAGCGTAAGTAGGCTGTTTATGCAGCAGACCAGGGTCGTGTCCAAATAATGTGCTAATATTGCTGTTTGTTGCTGTTAAAAGAGATTCAGACTGCAGTTTGTCACACACTGACAGACCTGACAGACTCTGTGTGACAGACCTCACGTGATCAGTTGTTGTACTGCCCTTACAGCACGTGTACTTGTATGCTAAGCTAGACAGCCAGCTAACATCTTCGGAGTACTCCAGTAACCACACAAGGCTTGACCGTTTGTGTATCTTACTGGAATTCTTCAAATTGTAAAACTGAAACATTACAGAAATAAAAACAACTCAGTATACATAATGTACTCCAAACCGCCTGAAAATAACAACTTCATTTATCCATTATATACAGACACACAGTCTCCAAGGCAGCAGTGTTTTGGGAAACAAAACACAGCACTAACATCTGTACAGCCGCTTAGCTTTTCTTGTGTGTGCGCAACTGCAGCATAGGGAGCTAGCAAACACAGAGGAGACCTACAAGGCTGCACACAGTGAACAGAGCACTCACTCTGACGCGATTTCTGAGGTCCAATGAACCAAGCTCTCATTCTGACGGGGGAAAAAAAAAAAAATTATTCTCTGAACTTTTCAAACTAATAACTTAACTCACCTAACATTTTCAACTCTTTACCCTCGCTGTAAAGGCAGCACGGTTGTCCTATTTTTATTTCATGTACTTATGTCTATATTCACATTCATTTCGTCCAACTGTCATGTTCTTCCTCTGTGGCACCACTGAACTGCAATACGGTATGAATGATTATTAACTTAGTATTTTGTGCCCTCATGTCTTGGTTAAAGCGTGTTAGCGTTTAATTAAAAGGCGCAACATGCATAAGTATTGTAGAGGAGTACATGTTGATAATAGATGTATAACAATGATTTAAAAAATCATTACTACCACAAACAGTCACCACAGCAGAGAACAGAGAATAATGACAAAAATAGAGAATTAAGGGCTGTTTGTATTGTTCATGCTTTATACTCTACTTGGTAACTCATACTAAAAAAGTAGAACTGAAGTGAAATTCATACAAGGTGATGACTTCTGACACAAAACTTCAAATTGGACCGGGGTTGTTTATTTTGTGACTTTTGTCTGAATGAAAGTATTTTCCAGTCACATGTTCTATCATTGAAATTCTTTTAAAAATTGAGCAAAACTCGCATCTTGTCTCATTCACGTGAACTAAATCTTGTCTCGTCTTTGCTCTTGTCTCGTCACACCCCTAATCATGACATACAGTTTATTTCTGCCTTTGGAGCTTGAATTCACTCCTTAATCCTTCCTTTCTGTCTGCAGCACCAGAGGTTCTCGGCCCAGAAAAATACGACAAGTCATGTGACATGTGGTCATTGGGTGTCATCATGTACATCCTGTGAGTAATTTTTTTTTTTTTTAATGAGTTTCCTTAATTATTCTTTGAAATAAAAAAGGCACTAACTTACGAATTCTTAAACAGGTTGTGTGGGTATCCTCCCTTTTATTCCAACCACGGCCTCGCCATCTCTCCCGGCATGAAGAGGAGGATCAGGATGGGCCAGTATGAGTTTCCCAACCCTGAATGGTCTGATGTATCAGAGGAAGGTCAGAAATAGCATATGCATGTGGTGACTTAAGGTAGTGAGTTTAAATGCTGTCAATTGACATTTTTTAACTTTACTTTTAGCCAGAAATAATACCTCAAGATAGTTTCATAAGTCATCCAAATATAAAAAAAGGTTATTTTTGCTAAACTCTGCCGTCAAGAAATTGAAACTGCTGCCTGTGTTTTCACCTCCTCTTCACTGCCATCAGTCATATTTGCTGCAATTGAAAGTGATGTTGTATTTTCTGTCTTGTGTAGGGGTTTTGAGAAAAAAAAAAGAGAAGCCAACAAAGTGATTATTAGTGAACTTAGGGATATTTCCTTCAATTGGATCAGTTCAGTGTATTTGTGGAACTTAAGAGTCAGATGAGTTGTATTTACTGTAATACTATTCTTAAAAAAAATCTGTACATGGATTACTGTCAGTGTGTGCTATTTTATTTTCAGTTGGAGTTGACGACTCAGTTTTTGGTTACACCGTCATAGCAAAATAAACATGCAAACAACAGGATTGCTCAATGTAAGCTAGCGTTATTGCTCAACATGCAGCATGTTCAGGAATAAACAACATGTTGGTAAAGTGTAAAACTACACGGTTTTCCCTCTGCACTTTTTTTTTTGTCTTTTTAATTTTAGTTTCATATCACTATGTCACCATTTGTTTTAAATAGTAGCTAGTAAGAAAAATGTTCTGTGTTGTGTTTGCAGCTCAACAGCTGATCAGGACCCTCCTCAAGACCGAGCCGACACAAAGGATGACCATCACAGAGTTCATGAATCATCCATGGATCAATGTAACAGCACTATCTTGTTTTTAACTTCAAGTTCACTCCCTTACTACCTCTCAATGAACAACACTGTTCTGGGTGTTGCCCCTCCAGTGAAGTCAACAAATCTGCTTGTGTTCCTTTGTGTCTTTGTAAAGCAATCAATGGAAGTTCCCCAGACCCCACTTCACACCAGCCGTGTGCTTAAAGAAGAGAAGGATGCGTGGGAGGATGTCAAGGTAAGAGGTTCCCTTTGCAACGATTCAAAAAACGAAACACTTTGAATGAAGGACTGCTGCCATGTCAAGTCTTTGGATTGATTATTTGAATGGCAGCATCAGAAAAAACACCCTTCAAAGTAAAGATGGACTGTACTGTGTCTCTCTGTAGTTATAAGTTATGGTCAATGATAAACTTATGCCATGACTGTGTAAGGGCCGCAAATCCTTTTAAAATCGAAAGAAGAGAATTAGCTTAAGGAGGAAACAGCTAAAATCAACAGTGGAAACCTGGGGTTAATGAACATGCCCGATATGGACTTATTTTTGTCCATATATGGTGAGGGGTCATCGCTGCATTACACCTGGCAGCCATGTAGGCTTTGTTAATATGCTCCGTTCCAGTTGTACTGGGAAGTCGGAATATCCGAGCTCCAAGTCAGAAATTCATCTAGAACGCCCCCCCTGAAGTCGGATTTCCGACTCAGAAAATCAGACGATCCTCACCAACCCCGACTTGACGACAACGTCATAATCCAGGATGGAAGTACAGTGCATCAACAGTAAACAATAACAGTGAAAGCTCTTGTAATGTTTTATTTATTAGCACTTCTGTTTTGTTTTTGTGAAATTAAATAAGTGGTATATGTTGTGCTGCCCAATGTCTAACTGTGAACACGGTGGTATGGTGTTTGTAAAAGTAAAATACTGTGTAATGTGTTGTTTACAACTAGTATAGCTAACAACAACTAACAACCGCTGACAACGGCTAACAACAGCTGACAATTGTAAACAACAGCTAACAACGGCTAACTGTAGGCGTCCATCTTGGATTTCTGACTTGTTAACTGGAACGCTGTCAACTCGGGTGTAATGTCATTCCCAGCTCCAACATCCGACTTTTGAGGTAACTGGAACGTAGCTTAAGCTTTGTCTTGTGTTTGTTTTGTTGCTAAAGAAACAAAAAAGGCAGGAATTGTTGTGAACTTTGGTGTCCTTTTAAGGGACCCCCATTTTCAAGCAACTTGACCTGTAGGTTATATACAGCAGGTTATATACAGCAATTCTGAGACAAAGTTTTGTTGCATCTTCACCATTATTATTTTAACTTTTTTCTTACAAAGCAACATTACCTCCTCTGCTGTTGAAAAAAAAAAGACAAACAGCTGTCATAATCTGTATTTGTTGCATTTAAATCTTTTACACTGGCTAAGTAGATCAAAAACTCTACGACATTGGTATGTGCTAGTCTTCAATATGGGATACCAAACTGCATTTCGTTACATATTTTTGGGGGAAGTGTTGATCCTTTTTGATGAGCACTGCAGTTTTTTTGTTTCTGAAAGAACAATGGATCTGCATTTTAGACCTTTGAGGGAAAGAAGCTTGTCGGGCAGACGTGATATCTTGGCTTCAGTGAATCAAGTGGTCAAATGACCCTTTTTTTTTTTTTGATGAATTTTCAGGAGGAAATGACCAGTGCCTTGGCAACAATGAGGGTTGATTATGAGCAGATCAAGATCAAGACCATTGAGGACTCGACCAATCCCTTGCTTACGAAAAGGAGGAAGAAAGCCAATCACAGCATCGCCGACCCACAGTCTGCTGCTCACTGAAAGATGCACGAATGCATGCACATACAAACACAGGTTGTAAAAAGGAAGCAATAATTCGTCGACGTGTGAGTCGCATTGCATGGATTTTATCAGTGTTTTATTTTTCATGGCAAATTCTAATGTTTTGTAGGAGTGTTTTGTTTTTATTACTCTACCATTTTAACAAGCCTAGCCTTTGCTTTGGCAGAGAGGATGTTTATCCGTGTTTTTACACCAGTAAAGAGATTATGAATTATAGAAAATATCAGGTTGTGTACCAAGAGGGGCTTGAGTGTTTGGATAGGACTTGAAGCCTTAGCATTAGCAGTAGCCCTGCCCCCTCCCCCCGGCCCTGTTGAAGCACTAGCCCCCTGTGAATGTTAAATCAGATGGCTAAATCCCAAATAAAGAAAGCAAGGGAAAGTTTCGTACCTGCAGAATAAACAGATGTATTTTGAACTGACAAGTGGAATGTAAGGACTTTTCTCCTGCCTGTTGGTGTTAGCTGGATAGTCACTCATTTTTGGGACACGAGTCTGTAAGGTTCAGTTTGTCTTGGTGAATGTTGAACAGAGGCCTATGCACTCACTCAAGGGCTGCGTGCCATTCTGACAGAGCACCTCACTCTTGGCTCCTCTCTCCTTATTTTATCTATGCTTGTTTTTCAGAAATGTTGTTTTAGGCCAGAGGAGGATGCCAGGAGTAAGAACAGAAACTGGCTCCACTTTTGGCCTGCATGTAGCTAAGAGGAGAGTAGGAGCCAACCGATACTGTATTTTTTCATGGATTTTATTAGTATAGGCCTTAATGAGTGTCGCTATATCAGTAAATGATGTTTAACCCCTACCTACCTACCTACCTACCCCTTGGTTCATACTATCACAGATGTTATGCTTCAAAGTTTATGACTTTGCCAGATTATATTTCAGGTTCATGCTATGCAGATATGTTTGTCAGCAAGCGGAGAGTAAGTACTGCAAGGACCTTTTGTTTTTTTCCTTTTTTTTGTTAGTGTGGATTTTTTTTTTTTTTTGCAAATGTGTCAGAGAGATGTCAAGCAACAATAGAGAGCGCAAGTGTATGTTTATGTAAGCAGTAGCACCCTTTAGGGAATACATGTTTCGGACAGACCTTCAGTTCCTACGAAATGATCACGATCACCAAACGGTAGAGGGACTGATCTGTGTTTAATGCCAGTTTCCGCTGACCGTTCTCCTCCACACTGTCCTTGAGGATCGATAGAGTAGAAACTACTGAAGTGCTGCTCCGGTCCTGGGAGTAGAATCTTGACATAACACCAGCAAGCTGTCATCACATCCAGATAGGGTATGATGGTTGTTTTCTCTTTAATGTGCTGTCCACATAAAAGGACTATCTCACTTTGGGATCATGAGACATAAATGTATTGGTTTTGTCAGTTTTGTCCACTTCACTATGTGAAATCACATCCACATGACCTTTCACATCACACCTATAAAATATTTCACTGTAAAATGTTCACTGAATGTTTGTGATGATGTTCCCTTTTTTTTCTCAACATCTTTTTGTAGTGGAGGCACAGATGTGTGTCTATCATTGAGTCTGATTAGCTACACCTGCCATACTTTGGTCTGCTTAAGCTTTGGATTAAAAAAACACAAAACTAAGACACCTGCCCTCATCTCTTTTTCTGAGTACAAAATAACAGTGTTAGTGTAAAAATGGGACATTAAACATCTTCAGATAACGCTGACAAAGTTTTATGGAGAACTATTATGTGTTGAAAGGATGTATTAGATAACAGTGGCCCTTTTATCGTATATACCATAGTGGTAAAGATTAACGAAACAAGTATTTTAGCATTGATGAATCTCAAGCATTGAGTTGGGTGATTTATTTTTGTAAGTTGAAGAAATTTAAAATTATTATTCAAAACAAGATAACTCCAAATATGGAGTTCCAATTCTTTATAAGAGCAAGCACATGCAATCTACATCATTGTGAAAAACTGTGTGAATGTAAAATCTATTCAAACTTTGTCTCTCGCCATCCAAATAACAAAGAGGTGGTTAGGAGATGCTTTGTAGGTGGAAGTATTGTTACTGTTTTGGATTTGTTATCAAAAAAGTGTAAGTATTTAATAACATTCTCTCTGTAAATGTGCCCCTGCCTTCACATTTAAACATATATTTCTCATTAAACATGTCTCCATCTATGAGTCAGGTTTTCAGACAGCTTAGGGATTTGTGGCTTTTACACAAAGTACTGAGACTCAACTTGTGACAAACTGTTTGCCAAGCACGAGTGAATCCTGGAATGTACACATTTGCGTCGCAAAACAGCAGCGCCGTTGAGTCAGTACAATTGTTTGCCAACACTGGGTAACCGTGTGCTTCCCGCCAGAGCACAAGATCATTTCTCTTCAGGTGCAGACCTTCGGAAGGCACAGAGCTTCCAGCTTTGAGTATGTCGAAACCTACAGTCATCTCTCTTGTGCATAGTCTTTCAGGTAAGTGTGAGAGGGGTTAAATGGGGCTTAAGGGGAGTTCCACTTTAAAGAAATCATTTTGAGGTTCTCCCCCTTCACACCTACTTTAACTACCCACCCAGACTGTCCAACCAGGGGACGAGAGGGGGGGCTGTTCAGCATGTTTTTGTCAGAGAGTCTTGGGGAAGGGAAACAGAAGGTTTAATATTTACCTTCTGAATTAATCAGCAGTTTAGCATCCTCAAAATAGTTGTAATCAAAGAAAACCTGATCAGACTTGCTGATGGACAAAGAAGTCAGGTGTATAATGCTCTGAGTTGGAAACTGAAACGTGACAGCTTGAACATGCCTTTGTGTCACTACTATGTGTGTCTTTGTACAGGTGGAGAGTGAAGGGCAAAGGCTTCTCAGCTGAGGAGGTGACAGTTCGGAGTTCTTTGAAGTGGTGTGCCAACCTACTTCTCACATGCATGCATCCTCTGAGACTAGACAAAAGTGGGGACTGACTTGCGACAGATAGATGAGGTACAAACAGTGTGAGGCCTTACATTACCTTAAAAGAATATGATCAAATGGAAAGCCTGTCTTACACGTGCCGCAGCAGTTTCTAATGTGTCTGGTCTCTACCTGACAGTAAATCTCAAAGAGTTTACGGTCAGATAAAGCTCTGGGTACATGTAGTGGTAACTGTGGTTACTTTGATTTATCGTAGGCTTTCTTTTTGATTGTTTGAAAAAAAAACGTGCTATGATTCTAAGAAGGATTTCCTCATTGTCTTTCAGAGAAGTTGATGACACTTACAAGCTCAAATAGATAAAGCATATTCTTGATTTTAGACCATTTTGCTGTCATGTGTACTTTTGAGTTACCCCGTTTATTGAACAGATGCTTTTTTCCCTATTTTTCAGGTTGTCACATTTTATCAGGGGCAGAACATAAACACACGACATCTAATAATAACCCAAAAACTTTAAAAAGTGCTGCTAAATGGTGCCAAATATTGATAAAAATCGCATAGCCTCGTGGAAAATGTTTGTATCTCCATATTTGGAAGTACCCAGGATGCCACAGGTTAAGCAATAACATAGTTGACTCATTTCCGATTTGTAACTTCTGGGACATAAAAAAGGGGAGAAAATCAAACTAAAATTAGACTCCATGATGTAAATCCAAGAAAATATTAATGCCAGCCTAATGATAGATTTCTCTACTGCGATAATGATACACGTCACAGCTTACGTCACATAGAATTTGTCATTTTTATCCAAAGCATCATCAGCGTATGCATTATGAATAATACTTTCAAACAATCTATTTTTGTGATTGACTCACTGTGAATGCAATTCAACTAGTTTTATGAATCAAAATAACGTGTATTGTGGTAACTGCAATTTGTTTTTTTTCCCCTTTCTTGTCATGGTATTTTGAAATGACTCACACATACCTGTTATATAATGAAACTGAGTGTTCTTAACTGGTGCCAACAGCTGTAAGAAAACAAAAAAGGAAAAAGTTTTCATGCTCACCTCCACTGTCTTTTAACAAAAGTCAAGAGATAACAATATCAACCATGTTCACATTCGCACATGTAAAGAAGAGAGTCTACATTTTTATGCAAAGTTTTTTAGGTGAAAGTTACAGAGAGGCTCGTGCGTCAGCTCGTGTGTCAGTCAAAGAGACAGGTTCTGTCTTGAGCACTTTTGGACGATGATTTCTTTGACAAAAATCACAGCTTTTCAACACAATGACCCAGCATAATCTGATTTACATTTTCGATTTTTTGATAACGGAGTTAAGAAGCTAAGATTTGATGGCTTGTAAATTCTTTACAATTATTGCAAAAATAACAACTCAAATGTAACAAACATTTTATTGTTGATAAAAAAAAAAATATGTGGTCATATTGAATTTAATACAAGCAACACATTTCAAAAAAGCAGGGGCATAGTTAACTTTGTGTTGCACCACCTCCTCTTTTGATAAATGCTAAACTTTTGGGAACTGAAGAGACCAGTTTCTGGAGTCTTGAAAGAGAAATGTCCCATTTGTGCCTGATGTAAGACTTCAGCAGCTCAACACTTGAGGGTCTGCTTTGTAGTAAATTTATGTCATGATGTGCTAGTGTTGTTTTCAGCGGTGACGAGTTGGGACTGCAGGTGGGTCATTTCGTCACCAAACTCTTCAGTTACAGACCACACTGTTGTAATGGGTGCAGACTGTGGTTGCATTGTTCCACTAAAAGAAATAGTCGCCCCTGTGAAGGACACTTTCTGGGTTGTAGCCTATTTTGCTTCAAAACTTGCATGTGTTGATTGGCAGTAATGATGTCTTTCCAGATTTTGCTACCTACCCTGCTTTTAATATGTGTACAAATAACAGAGTGGAGGATGCCAGGATTTCTAAAAAGAATATAAAATTGTGATTTACCAGATGATAGGGCATTTTCCCCCCACTCCAAGTTAAAACAGCTCAGACCCAGAGTAGTCACCTGCATTTCCTCTATGCGGTACAGTTTTAATCCACATTTGTGATTGCTGTTTCACATTGTGTTTACAGATGGCGGTATTAGGAACTGTTTTTGAGTGCGTCACAGTGACTTCCACAACAAAATCATGTTTGTTCCTAATGCAGTGCCGTCTAAGGGGCCGCAGATCGTGGTGATCTAGTAACCAGTAGTTTGAAGATGTCCCTTTTGGTGTTTTTTTAAGCATTACGAAACAGTTTAAATGTTTTGCCCTCATGGACGGATGTGTATATTTTCAAAAAACAAACATTTTCCTTCTTCAAACTTTGATTTGTTGTCTTTGCGCTATTTTTCATCTACTGTAAATATGAGATTGAACTGATTTGCAAACCATCAAAATCTGTCTTTGTCAACAATTCATGCAGCATCCCTACTATTGTCTGAAATGAGGTTGAACATTTTGCAGGTGTATGATGTAGTAACAGACAAACCTCTGTCTACTAAAATTTATCCTCAAGAAACCTCTGTTGAGCATGATTGAAATGAAACAGTCATAACAGTGCTATGATGGCATGTTGCATAGTACTGACTTTGCACAAATGATACTATTCATATCATCCCACGATGACTGTGGCGGGCGGCTGATGAAAGCTGATGGCAGCGTAGTTTCAGTAAGAAGCTTGAGTCAGGTCGAGAGACGTGTCAGAGTAATACACATAGTGTCAAATGATGCATAGCAGATATTTTGTGTCCGTTTTACTGACTAGTGCAGTGAAGGAATAAACTTCTGAAAACCCTGTGGATTCATATCTTGACGTCTTTACTGCAGAGATGTGACTTACAGGCTTTTATGAAGAGATAATATTTTGGTTCATTTACTTTCTGATATTTGCTGCTCTGATGCACTGTCAGTTGTATTTCATCTCTGAGTGAGATTGCATTTGCATGTATGTGCAAGTGTGTGAGTATAGCATGAGGGTGAGGCTAGCTACTTACGGTAACGGTAAGTTAAGATGCAGCACAGCTGCTGGTAAGTCTATATGGGTCATGTTTGAGGTTAGTACATCAGCCTGTTGACTTAACACTTGAGTGGTTCCTCATTTAGCTGTAGACTGATAGATCACTGCACTGCAGGATGTAAAATGTTCAGTCAACCTTTTCCACATGAGTAATGACATGAAAAAAAAACTGTAAACAGCTATTTAAGTTCAACATTTATTCAACTGCAACAATACAAAAATGAACATAAATAAAGATAATAATTTAAAAAAATATATGATTTAAAAAAATAAATATCAGTTTCTCTGGTGACAGTTTCAGTCATTGCATCTCTTTGGTAGGACTCAATATGGTCATAACACAGAAATTTGTCCCCAGGACAAAAAAGTAAACAACCGTCAGAACAGCAGAATGCAGTCAAAAAAAGTTGAAATATAAGACTCTGAGCTGATGAAAGTAACGGATCAGATATAAAATTACATGATCATTAATGTTTCTTCTTCCTGAGAGGTGAAAGGTCACATTTTGATGAGGGTTGGTCGGGTCTTCATGAAGATGCCACACGATTTCTGTGTCGTTTAGAAGCCAAATATGCTTCGATGTAGTTAAACAGCAGGTCCAACTCGCCCATGGCCTTGTACAGACCTTTGCTTTGCATCTGTGGACACACAAGGGTCAGTTTATTCACATCATCTGTCATGATACAAGCATAATTGAAAATGCTGTATTTAAACCCTAAAAGATCAAGTCATGGTACTCACCTGAGTGTATGTAGAGTTTAGCGTTTTGATGTCAAAATGGGTCTTGCAGGAGAAGTAATGTCGCTGTTATATGATAAAAAAGATAATGTTAAAACCTCGTCTCATTTCAATTGAGATTTAGGTCCACAAATATCTAAACATCCATATAGTTTGTAAGTGGTAGGTTATAGAGTTCCCTGTCTGGAAAAAAAGCACTTCTTCTCCTTTCCAATACATGGATGATGGTTTAGCCCACTGCTTTACAAATCACTGACTAATGCATTATTATGATCTATCACATGAGCCATGACCAACTCTTCCCTCCTCTGTCTCGCTCGATAATTGACCTCGAAAGAATATTTTGACTCTTTATGTAATGTACTTACATCACAAAAAAGGAAGAAAAGGATTTCGACTTTAAGTAATCCGATGGACCACAGCAGTAGGCGCCGATAACCAGTTTGGTATCAGATTTGGTTTTAATTTTAACCAAAGAATAGCAATGTCCGCTGTCTTGTCACCAGTAACACATAATCGAATACTACACTTCTCAATCTCTCGCATGGACTGCTACTACCTTCACCGCTGTGCACCGTGGGTGCGTATTGACATTTCGATTCCGTGGGAGTATTAACACGTGTTTTCGGCTACTCACACAGCGCGTGACATCACCCTTGAGCTCGTCGAAAATCTGCTGTATGGACTCCATGTGTGGCTTCAGGTTCCTGGTCTCGTCGGTCACTTCGGACAGCGCAGTGGGCAGCACCGTGCCGAGGTAGAAGTCCAATATGTTGTTCATGGCGTTACAAGCAAACTGGCTCTAAAGAGGTGAAGAACAATCCGGTCAAATCAGGTCGTTTCGTGTTTTGTGGCGTGCTAGATTTACTGATATATATCTGGACTTACTTTGAAGGAGTCTTCAACGCTTTGGTCGAGCAGCGCTGTATCCAAGTCATCGTTTGCTTCCTGCAATCACAAAGAAATCTTGTGCTTAGTATGCTGCGCAACCTGGCTGACCGAGGCGCAATGCAAAATCATCTAAAAGTATTGGAAGTCCTCCCAAATGCTGCTGCACTTGCAGAGGTAAATGTGGTGTTTCTACTTACATAAAAGTCTCTGATCTGCGAGTAGTCTTGTCTGAGCTGCTTTAGCCGGACATGAAAGCCCTCCACGAAACGACAGCAACGGTCGATGCACATGGGGCTGCAGGTGGCGATGCTGAAGAGTGATAACAGGACCAGAGTGAACAGGGGGAGAGGCCGACGAGTCAAAGTTGCTGTCATCTTCAGAGTAGAGTGCAGGTCTGCTGGGGTGGAGATGCTGCTGGTTCAGTGGATGGAGAATCAGTCTCTCTGACCTCTAAGAAGAGGAATCTTGTTCGGATCTTGCTGAAGAGCAAACAAGAGAAAAACGCACATTTTGGGTTCATCTTGTGCTCTTATTTATGAGACAGAATCGTAAGGGAGGAGACTGCCAGGAAGAGAAATGGTTAAACATGCTTCATACATGCGGGGGATTTTTTTTTTCCAAAATCAGGCATTACATGCGAGCTGCTCCTCCCAAGAAATAGGCTGGTACTTTTGTAGAGCTCATCATGTTTTACTCTCAAGGAAAAATTCTGACACAGCTTGAATGGAATTTTGATATGATGACATACTTTGTGATATGTGATTTCCCCCCCTCTTTTTATGTAGCCTATTTATTTTTGTGTGTTTGTGTGTGTTCACACTTGTGTAATTTATATTAACTTTTATTATCACAAATAGCATTAAAAATGACATGTACATTTAACTATGTCATTTTGTATTTGTATTCATAGCAGGAGTGTGGTACTTCAACCTTTAGTCCCTTAAGATGTAGTTTGGCTCCTTTATTTATTTAGCCTATAAAAAGAACTCTATATTTGCAAAGATTTGAGCAAAACAATCAGTCACGGTATATTAAGCACTGCATGCACAGAGCTAATAGTGCCACCCGGATGGAAAGATTCTGAAGTTGTGGTTTGAGTTTGTGACGTTTTGGATTCCCTCTGTATGTCAGACATGCGTAATATGACTGCTCACCATGAAAACAGGTGACTCTGTCATAGTTGCTGTCATCTCTAAGTAGGTGCCTCTGGGGGCAGTCTTGGTACTCTCCTTCTGTATCATGAGGTTTGCATATGCATGGACATTTAAGTCAAACTAGTGTAGAGAGAAACCACATGGAGAAGTTGTGTGCAACTCTCGGCGGTAGTATCTCAAAGGGTGTTTCCCCTCGGTACTTATTCCTGTATGGAATATCCACTTGTCTGGCAGCAACTCATTAATGTTAAGAAACACTGGTCTTTTTAAAAACTACCAAAAAAAAATCATCTCTGGTGATTGTCCCTGAGTAATGAAAACTTTACAATCATTGAAATAAACCTCAGGACAGTTTGTCACGGGTTGTGTTAAAGTTTATCTACTGGATGACGCTTTTGTCATACCAGAATAACACAGGGCTCTTGCCATTACCGTAACTTATAATAAATACAAATAAACATGGACAAAATGCACTATGCCTTTTCTTTTATTCATTTCAAATGCTATTGTCTGATAAAGATACATGTATAATGTTGAGCTTTTATCTATGACGGCATTGATTTTAGTGTGTTCAAACTGATCACCAGTTAATTTGTTTACAAGTCTATCAGGTCAAATTATAAACGCAATGATTATGAGTTTCATGTTTTTTTTTTTTTAAACCATTTCATCTAGCTGTTCAAAAATAAAATCTAGAAAATAGAAATTCAGCACTAAAAATGATGACCTAGTAAATTTGGGATTAAAGAATTTTACTGCTGTGCAGTTTTACCTCACCCAAAACATTTGTTGGTTTTTCCTTGGCGGTCAAAGCTTTCCATAAAAGGGTACACCTAATTAAATATTTTCCATTTGATTAATAAGTCGAAATATGTTTTAACTGGTCATTTTCTTTGACTGAATTCCAAAAATTGTGGCTGAAAAGTATGAAATAGATACTGATTAAGTACAGTTCCTACCATGTGGACTGCTGAGACTTTAGAAGACAAGATATATAGATATATATATATATATAAGAATAAAGCAATGTGTGCAATAATGGATTTAAATCAGATTCAGTTTGTTACTGATAGTTTAACCTGTCTAAGAAAGTAGAAAGTAGCTTTGAGACCTATCATGGAAAAACAAACATAATGACAAAAGAGCTAAAAACTAATTCAACAAATTTTCCTCAAATATAGTAAAAAAGAGATGGAGACAGAAAAATGGGGAAATAATACATCCCAGAAAATTCTGTTCATTGTGAAATCAAATCAGTTTCATAGAGGGAAATGTAATAATATGAAAATTAACTTTATCAACTGTATTAACTGTACCTAAAATATCCAATCATATCATCACTCAGCAGATTAACACAAATGATCCAAATATCAGAATGCAGATATTTTCATTAACGTTTGCATTTCACTTTTTATTTTTTAATGATGTTGACACCAAGGTCCTACAACTTTATTTTTGCCAAGCAGTAAAATACATGAAATATGCCACTTGTAGGTAATGTACACATTTAAGAGCTTCATATGAAATTAAGATGAGTCAGCAGAAACTCATTTATGGGAAACCCCACTTGACTGACTAATATGTGGCATATATGCAATGCTTCTCTCTATCTGGCTTTGTGATTTCATGATTTCGTCTCGTTGCAGTTGATATGCATCTGCCAAATCTGGTACGAGGAACTTTGCCAATGTGAATAATATTGAGATTATGAGTCTGCTAGTATGTCACAGAACATCCTTTTCATCACATTTTAGTCACTAATTTTGAAGCTGTTGTCTTGCATATAATGATTAATCAAGCCCAGTGACAGGAAGTGACCAAAGAAACTGTTGAGTGGTAGCCAGTCACTCTCTGTTAACACTGTCTTTTATAAGACATCAATTTGTGACATTAGGTTAAAACTTGAAACTACATAAGCTATTTAGCATTTTATTCTTTTTTTAGGCCAAAATACGCAAGTAAGAGAGAATGAGGATGATGTTGAGTTTCTTCTCTCTGCTTTATGAAACCATTATGTGAAATATGTTAATCCTCTGGAAGCTTATCTAAGCAAGTTTAAGCCAAATGGTAAGAAGTGATTTTTCTATTTCTGTTCAAACATTTTCATTAGTCGGCTCTTCCAGGAATCAGCGCCCCCCGGTATGTTTACACTTCCTCCTCTAAAAAGGGTCAACGCTGAATCAGTCCAGCCTTATCTGCATCAGAGTCAATGGCTGAGTTGACAGAACACTGTCTGCTCTTGAGATGAGCAGGTGCAAATGTAGTAATGACGTGTCAGCATCTCACCCACGAAACTCACTAAATGAGGTTGATACTTAGCGGTGATCCGAGCCTGCTGTCGGAGTCGCTGTACTCACACATACTGCAATAGAATTACACGTTCCAAATGGTTGCTGCTCGCAATGTATTTGTGCATTTTCAACTTTGTGGGGCTTTGTAGATCACGAGTTTAAGATTTCCTCCCCTTTGTGTGTCACGCTGCATTGAAGAGTCACCTTTAGGGGAAAATAGTTTCTTGGCAAATAGCATAACCACATTTCTCTTTCACTTTCACATCGGTCAACTCTTGTTTACCTATGCCTTTGTTTATATACATACATTTGTGTAGCATTATATCGTTTTATATTTTGTTTATTTTAGGCGTCTTTTATTTAAACATATATATATGAGTAACAGAACGGGTGTGTACAAGCTTCAGGGTTTTGCAATCAGATTGAAAAAGAGGAAACGATGAGAGATGCATATGAAATGTCACAGGGTTATCACAATGGACTGACACCACCCTGCCCTTTTCCCCTCACAAATGTATGACAGCTGATTACTCTCAGGTATGTGAGTGCCCATCATGAGGATTATGCAAGAGTAGTCTTCGGAGTATTTTCTATTTCAGTGCGTGTGACACACAAAAATTCTCTGCATTTCATTATCCATTCATGTACTCTTACTCATAGTTCACCTTCAGGGCAAATGTGACCTGTACCCTGGTCAGCACGCCCCCTTCTTCATCTGAGTCTGATTTACTGCATATCTTGACTTTCAATCTTTCATAGAAACCGTCTCTTTTCACATGTGAACCTTCTTAGAAACCTTATCATTTGACAGGGCTGTAGGAGCAACAGAAGATGAATGTTTCACTGTAACCTGAAACTAAAGTAGCACTGTCCTTCTGCTGGGCAAGCATCTTTTAGCAAGAGACGAAACTTCAAACTTTCCTTCATCACACACTGTACCGTTTGACACGGACATTGCAAGTTATGCAAGATTAAAAGATCTTAAGTTTTCCAGTGATTGATTCACTGATACAATGACTGTAGGCTGCCAAAGTATGACATTTCATCCTCCAGTCTGTTTTTATTCGTGTTTGGGTGCAAGTGCGTAAGTAAGTACCTGCATGCAAATTGTAGTTAGTATATTTGCCGGTGATGGTGTTAACCGCATTTATGTCAGAAGCACATACTGTGACAACTCATATTTCCCATGATGTTTAAACATCTGGGTGCTGATTAGTGAAAGTAGAAAACAATATATTTTCAGTGCAGTTTGCCGGATGAATCATAATTTCATTACTCTTTTCTAAAATTTCATAGTAGACGTAAATCTGCTGAATGTGATGGCAACTCAGATTTTATCTGATGTGGTGACATGAAAAGTTTTTTTCGTGTATGTGGAATACAGTGATGGCAAACTTAGATCTTTATTAGGCAGACTGATAAAAATATGATGATGTCTGCTTTATATATTTTATATTTAGCTCACATTTTACACCCAAGATTGCTGATCTTAGGTTTCTTCTCATCAAGACCCATAGACTATAATGGATCCATAGAAACCATATATGCAGACGAGGCCCCGTCTCATCAAAGGGATTCGAGCTTTGGGGCTATCTTTTTGAAAGACAGAACCGGGTCCAAGAATGTTTTTCTAATGTTTAATCCAGCACAGTTAGGGTAAGTACAGGATGTTCCTATCATTGGAGAAAGTGTGTCACCGGCTTGAGATGGGGGAGGACATAACGAAAGACAGAGAGAGTGAGTACTAACGTCAACCTTTGAGCTCGTGACTTTTTTCTTTCATTTTTGGATAAAGCTCAACACTATAAACAGCTGATCAGTTCATGAAATGTTTAATATGTTTCTGTGCCGATATCACTCATTCAAATCCAAATCTTTTCAGTTCAGTTTAAGTTGTCTGATTGTGTAAATCATACTCCCTGATCAGAGGTTCTTCTCTGCAATGAATTTTGGGCTTTTTTTTATTGCATTTTGTAAAATTTCATTGAAGGTGAACAAAGATGGCAGTGCTTTCTTTCTGAGGGTTGCTGTTTTTGTTTTTTTTGGAGATATCTTTGGAAAACTCAACCCTCAGATCACCGTCTGCTCCTGAATTCTTCTAAATCTATTGCCCTGATTTATAGGTGAGTCATAAGATATATGTTTTAATGATGAAAATGTATCATTATAAAAACTAAGACTGCTGGCAGATAATCAGAAGTCACTGTGAAGCCTTTCCTCCAGATTTTTTTGTACATTCAAACACACAAAAAAAACATAACAGGCTTAATGACCTAGATATCAGACAATGTAAACATGACTGTGTGTCAGTTTTCAAAACCTAGCAACCTTAGTTTTCAAGATATTAACACTTGAAAGTTTTAATTGAAATTGTTTCTATTAAGTGTTGATGTCTCTTTGTAATCAGTCAAAGCTATCCAGAGCATTAAGACTATTACTGTGAAGAGACTGTAGCGCACTACCAGGATGGGTCTTGTTTAATTTTCAAAGCAGAGTTTTGCAGTGCGAGGCACATGAACAATCAAAAGACAACATAATTTTTCTCCAGTGAAAGTCTTCACATGCACGCACAGCACAGGCTCAGCAAAAAGCTAAGTTGTGCTGTTTTGAGGGAAGGTACTGACAGAATCAAGGCAGATAAAAAAGTTTCTAACAGCCGCTGCGAGGTTCTACGGTTAGTCTCGATATAGTGACACATGATTAGATAGTGGATAACAGACTTTTTTTTATTTCAAAGATACAAAAAATTCATTATAGAAAACTTGTGGCTATGGATTTCAGTTGTCCATCACTTGCTTGAAACCACTCAGTCATAGCAATGGAAAAATTATTATCTCTTTAGCACCATCTGCTGTTCACTAGGAAAACTCACAGTCAACAGGTTGTGAAACAGACTGGTTACATTCAAGAGCAGAGGAGATCATCATCATCATCATCATCATCATCATAAATACAGAAATACATAAAAAATACATAAAATGACAAAAATAAATACATTGAAAAATGCCTTAAAAATATGTAAATAAATACATCAATCAATAAAAAAGAGTTACAGTTGTTGTTCCAGTGTGGATTTATCAGGTCAAGTATTCATTTTTAGCGACTGAGTCCTAGAGGTGGGGGGGTTTGGGAGGCAGTGATGAAAACATATCAGTATTCCCGCCTTTGGTGATGCTGACAGATCTGTTGGTGTTGAAGGAGCTTTGCTGTTGTCATTGACAAGAAGGATAGTGGCTGCACACTCTCTCAGCGGAGGAGCTCGGCACCAAAAAGTGGACATCTGCTGCTCCTGATAGAGACACACAGTCAAGTTACAGTCATGTAACAACGGTTGAAAAAAAAACTTTCAAAGTTCTACAACATCGACATGTTCTCAGGTTATTGTAATACGACAACCTCAAATATCGGCCTCTTGAAGGCATTAAACTCCAAGTGGTTCAAGACTTTCTGTAAAATCTGCATTCTCTTTCACTTTTGTGAGCACATTTTCTTTGAAAGCACATGCTTCCTTTAAACCACAGAGTGAAACTTCAATTTTTCACACACCCATCTAGGATCTTGGGTTTTGGGGTGCTTCCTAAAGGAATTGTAGTTTTATGTAAGAGGAACCACAGAGGCCTGCAGTCTGCCTCCTCTTCCCCTACTGAAGAATTTGATGATGTCTCAATCCACGCGGCAGTGGTTTTCATGTCACCAGCTATTGCAAGACCTGATCTGTCATCACTGAGAGCTTCCCTTTTGTTTTCCTCATGTCCAAAAGTGCTGCGGAAAACTTGTATTTTTTTTTTTTAAGTAAAAGCCTTGAGGACAGTTTTAATGGTTTGACTGTGGTTGAAAGATGTGGTTAAAAGTTTTTTTATGACACCTCATACAGATACCTAGAAATCATGACCATTGGTGTGTTGTACATTTGATATGAGAGTCTGACTCATACATGAGTATTATAAGTTCAACTAAACTCAACACAGTTCAAATGCCCTAATTTAATCATCTATCTAAAACTATTTCTCAAAATCTCAACACTTATAACAAGATGTGACATTAATTTACTCTAGCACATCCAATAGTGGACAATTATGTCTTATTTTGTCAGGTCCTGTCTTTTATGGAAAAAATCTGTTAACTTGAATTCAAATGCAAAGTTTCTTAAAAAGTGAAACTGAACATGGGTCTAAGTTGCTATGTGCAAAAGTACTCACATTGGCTGTGATTTGGAAAAAGTTCTCTAGCAGATTTTTGAGTCCGCAGGAGAAACATGCTTCAAAAAGGCAGCAGGTGCAGCGAGGTACTGGAGTATTAGCAACACGAAAGAGTGACAACAGAACCAGGACGGATACCATTGTAGCTACTTTCATGTTGAGGAAAGAGAGGGCAGCAGGACCAGGGTGAACAGGAGGAGAGACTGAAGAGCTGTAGTTGATGTTACCCTCAGAGTAGAGTACAGGTCTGCTGGGGTGGAGATGCTGCTGGTTCAGTGGATGTGGAGTCTCTTTGACCGCTAAAAGGTAGAATCTTGAGAAGAGAAAAGGTAAAACGTGCTTCAAACATGCAGGGTATTTTCTTTTTTTTTTTTCTCTCTAGAATTGGGCATTACATGTGAGCTGCTCTTCCCATGAAATAGGCTGGTTAGCTCATCATGTTTTACTCTCAAGGAAAAATCCTGACACAGCTCAGCTCAAAGTCCAGGATGTTGTTCATGGTGTAGATAGATAGATCACTTTATTAATCCTGGTGGGAATTTCAGAAGTGGGGGAGGAGGAAGGGACCAAGTCGGTGAAATTAGGTCATCAAACTTCGGTCACTTCAACACATGTACATTATTTAGGAAGTGAAAGCGAAGGAAACTTTGACGCTCTCCAGCAGCGTCATGACTAAGTCATCGGTGACTGACTGTAATCACATTAGATTAATTAAACATGGTCCATAATTACTTGTATATTACTTATATTTCTCTTACTGCTAATGTTCATTTTAATCAAAGTGTTTAATATTTATTTTATGTCATTTTATTAATTATCTCTGTTCTTAGTCTTTTTCTTAATCTGGAGTGGGGAGTGGCACAGTCTTGACCAAATCCACTCTGTAAGACATAAACAGTCAGTGACAGGGCCAGGTTTTTTTTTTTTTTTACCAGGGTGACCAAACCTTCATCAGGGGGGCCAGGCCTGGTTAATATTCAGGGCTTCCTCCAAAAGTAGGAGAGGCATCTCTTCCAATTACAACTATTTTAATTTTAGATATTACTGAATCTCACACTGGGTGTGTGAGGATGGGTGTGTGTCTTTGTGAGTGTGTGGGTCCATGGGTGGGTATGTGGGTGGCAGGGTTGGGTTTTAGTTTTGTTAATTGTTGTCTTTAGCCTCTGTGAGGCGCTTTGAGCTGCATTTTTTTGTCTGAAAAGTGCCATAAAGATAAAGTTGGATTTGAATATCCTAATCCTGTATGAGCTGTTGTTGTTGTTGCTGTTGTTTTAATGTTGTTGCTGTCCCCTGGCTCTCTCTCTTTCACCCTTGTTCTCTTATCTCTCTCCCTCCCTCTTCCTGACTCATTCTCTCTACCTCCTACTCCCTTGTTCTCATTCTCTCCCACTGCCCTCCCTACCTCTCTCTCTCTCTCTCTCTCTCTCTCTCTCTCTTTCTCCCTCCCTATCTCTCTGTATTTCTCACTCAGCAGGGGCATGGTGGCTGTCTAACATGAGTCTGGTCCTTCCCAAGGTTTCTGCCTGTTAAAAGGAAGTCTTTCCTTGCCACTGTCACTCATGTTAGATGAGATGGGTCAAATCTGTCCCATCTTAAGGTTGGGTTTCGGCTATTCATTAAACAATGAGTGTGGTCTAGACCTGCTCTTTTTTTTTTTTAAAGCGTCTTGGAATAACAACTGTTGTGATTTGGCACTTTATAAAAAGAATTTGATTTGATATGATTTGATTTGATTATTCATTATCTCTGTCATCTACAGGGACACAGATGAAGATGCTTGCAAAAGCAGAAACAATCCAGAGACGTGGTTTGGTGGTTTATGGTAACATAGGATAGGTGTGTCATTTCAGTCCTTTGCTGTCTTTTTGTTTTTTCAAAACAAGTTTTCACATTCGAAAATTTAACAATAAAGACGTTAAAATAGCTTCAAATAGATTTTTGTGTCCCATTAACTTTTTTGTGAGCCCCCAGATTTAGCTTGTGATGGCTTCCATTATTAAATTTAGCAAATTTACATTGACAGACTTCAAGAGAAAATGCATTTGCACATTGGTGCTGTGTGGGGTCCATGGGGCTGTTGTAACCAGCACTTTGTTCTGATAATATGTGTTTTAAGTGCATGTAAGATGTGTTCACTTGCACGTAGATCAGGACTGTTAAATGACCTTTACTCACAGTAGGCTGAGGATTGTGTAAATATATCAGTCACACTTGAGCCGATCATTAATTTTGCCACTGTTACATTAAAACCATATGCAAATTATTTAAATCTTCTCTGAGGGGTTTCTGGTTGCCTGAACACCAGCATTAAGACTCACTGTATGTATTGCTATTTTTGACATCTGAGATGGCTATTATAGGAGGTAATTATAGTGATAAACAGCACACTACTGAAACAGTTTTTTCTTTTCCTCTTGCAATTCTTATGGCAAAGATTTCCATTGAGTCCTAAACAAAATTTGTCTGCTGAGATAAAGCATTATGAGCTTAAAAAGAAGTAAAAACTAATGCATGTATAAAACCAGCAAAAAGGTAACAGGTATTGTTGTGTCTACAGGGGGCGCCAAAAAGCACAAACATAAAGTTTCTCACTGGAACTTTACTGTAGCACACTATGTTAGTTAGAGTAGATGTCACGACTCATGTTGTAAGAAATCATTGACATTTAGTAAGTTTGAGATTTTTAATTAGAAAATAATTTATCAATACAGAAATAAAAAATGGTAACAAAGTCCACAATATGTTTTCGGTCTAATTAACAGTCACTCACACATTGCCTAAATGTGAGTCATTATTTTTATAAATATTTAACATTATATTATATCAAATATAAATACAGCACAACACTCAGTCCACAGGTTAGTGGAAAGCATTTTTAAGTTAATTCAAGTTGACCAATAATAATAAAAAAAGAAATGTAAAAAGGAACAGAGGTGAAGTTCACCCATTTCTAAATTTCCCTCCACAGTCAAAAGTTGCTGTAACAACAGCAAGTTTGATGAAGCCTCCGTGCAAATGCTGGTTCCCCAGATCATGCGTGCGTTTTTAAGCCCTCCAGCCACTCTAGCATGGTGTCCAGTTCCCCCACAGCCTTCTGTGCCGCCTGGCTTATCTCCAGCTGCTCCAAAAAAAAAAAAGATAGAACAGAAAGCAACAATGAGCCACACTGTACACAAACTGAAAGTGTCATATTTTTGTTTATACTGCTATTTTTTTAACTTTAAATGGTAACTTTTCAATGGCAAAATTTAAATCTGCTGAACTTGATTCTTCATGGACTCAAAGTACGTCCAAAGTTACCCTGAATCCATCTGCCACTTTGTGCAGTATTTCCTATATCAATTGTTCTTGTATGCCTGCCTCTCCAGGTATATTCAAGCAAAAAAGGGGTTTTTAGATTGTTGATGCCCATCAAAAAATGGCATCCTTTTAAAATAAGGTGGTAAAAATGATCTTTTTGTGTAGGTAACACTTTTTCTTTGAAAATATCAGCACATAAAACCAGATTTGTTTGAGATGAAAATATATAGAGAAAAATACAACATACCTTATCAAACTCAGAGTGCAGGGAGTCAATTGTCCTTTGTGTCTCTTCTGCACAGAGGCAGTGCTAAACAGAGCAGAAAACACTTCTATTAATACTTTTGATCACTGTTGCTCAGTTCACTAAATTGTGAAGTGTATCAAACAGTAAACTTACACATTTGTGAATGTCTCTTCTGATGCTAACAAAAGCATTAGCCAAGGCGCTGGAGCAGCGCTGCTGTTGTGGCTGAGAAGAGGCATAGTTGCTGAAAACTCTCTCAACATAGAAACGCATCACAAGACGCAGAAAACAGCAAGTCTGCCCGTTCTGTGTAGAAGAGGAATAAAAGTCAGGGGCCAGCAGCACTCAAACAAATATCTTACGCTTCAAATGTCAATGAAGCATAAGGGCCCCTAAGGCCAAGGGCCAAGAAATAGCTCACATTTTGATCTGAATGTATATGCATGGATCGAAATAAACATTATCAAGACCTACCTGGAGACTTTTGATTAATTTTTTATCCAGAAGTTTCACACCAATTTCATTGTCTCCATCGATCTGTAGAGTCGGAAAGAGAAGCCTCTGTCAAGTTTCCATCAAACTTACAAGGTTCATGATGTTTGTGGTCTTCATTTTCATACTTAAATGTACAGTTTGATCTTTAGAATATTTTTGTGTGTCAGGATCTAATTCTGCACTTGATTTCTGTGGTTAAACTCACCGCATTTGATCGTATTGTAGAGTAATATTTGCGCAGCTCATGTGTGTGAACATTGACAGAGCAGCTGTCCAGATGCAGAGTTCCACTCTCGACGAGTCCACTCAAACAGCTGAGGGCAATGAGCAGGCAGAGGGAGTAGCCGAGCAGCATCTTCATCCTTCTGGTTGTCTGGTGAGAGGGCTAACAGACCAATTTTTTATTAATAAGGGTAAGTCACAGAGAAATGCCTTCTCACAAGTAAGAATATAACAGTTGTATTTCATTCATTTTTTAACAATTAAAAGTCTTATTTCAGGTCCCATAACCCACCACCACCTGTCTGAAGATTCACCTGTGTGTTTGTAAAGCTGCAGAGGAGTCCTTGGAGAATTGTGCCTCTGTGTTTCCATGATGCCTCCTCTTATAGTGAACTAAGGGGGAATTCACCAGGTAAGGCACAGCTAACACTAATACACACACACACACACGCACACACACACACATGTGCATGCACACTAATTAGTTTACAGGAGAAGGAAGTTTGTTTGAACTAAAGGAACTTCCAGAAGACATTTTGTTACCTGATTGGATGAAAAGGAAAATTAGGTTTTCCTCCTCTTTGATGACAGATTTGGCCACTGGAAAGAAACACCGTCACTGTCACTGATGTAACCTGTTGTTGTTGTTTAACAAGTCACTCATGAAAAAAGCATGTCATCATTCCTCTGCAGGATTAAACTAGTCTTCCTTGTTAAGAAGCAATTACATCATTGGATGACTGACCTTCAAATTTGTAGATCTTTGGTTTTATACAAAAGATAGATGCGGTTTGCCCCTTCACATCTTTTTTTTAATATTTCTGTGACCCAAACTTCACTCTGCTTCTAGAGATTATGGACATGATTTTCTACCTCTGCAACCAATATTAATTCATACTTATCTCCTGGAACTTTCTCTTGCCCGCAGAACATCACTGACGTCAGCCAGCTCCTGTTTGGAAACACCCACAGAACCTGCTCAGCTGCTTCACTATTTTATGATGACAGCTGAGAATTTGCAGTGAAAAGAATCATGAACAAGGAAGTCCAATGAAAACTAGAATAACTTGTTTTTAGGTAAAAATATGAAGCCAATTATTAGCATCTATACAAGAAAAAGACAGGGAAGTGCAAAATTCTGTATTTCCCATGTAGATGAATTAGCCTACATGTCAGTGCCTGTGCCTAAATTAGCTGCAAGAATATCTAAGGTCAGGAATGTTTGCTGTTTGTTTCTGAATGCAACAGAGGCAACTGATGAGTGTGGAATTTTGCAGCACACTCTTTTAGAATTTGATCCCAAATATGTGTCATTTCTCTGAAATTGAGTCTCAGCTGCTGTTCCCCAGTTTTTTAATTTTTCAGTGTTTGGTGGAAATGAAAGATGCACACAAGGCAGTTTATTTAAAATAAATCTGACTAAACACAAGCCAATGACAAAAAATATCTACATTAGCTGTGCAAGACATTGCATTCACAACATTCAGAAAATTCACTGCAAATTCAACGTAAAAGTTTTCATAAACTACTGAATTCAACAACAAGACAATATTAACCACATAACCAAACACAAATGCTAATCCTAGAACACAAACACTACTCCACTGTCTGTAAACGGTCTCTAAATGATACCCTAAGAGTTTCTTTGGACACTAAAAAGCAATGAGCATTACCGTCACATAGGGGAGAGTGGGGTAAGATGAGCCAATTTTTCATATTTCGGATCACTACATCAAGGCAATCATAGTTTTGTCTCTAACTAGTGTATCTGCATATATTTCAAGATGTTGTGCCTCCCTGCAAACCAACAGAATGAGTGTAAACATAACTGTCTTGATAATATAGCATGCCAAAAAATGTGGTCTCCTATGTTCTACTACACCCCACTCTCCACCCCAGCCCTCCCTCAGCTTCTCTCTCCCTAAATAACAGTCACTTCTTCACATTCATGTGTATTTTTATCTATCATATGCTATTCGACTTGTACAATAATTCTTTTTATTATTATTGCATATAACTGCTAAAAAGCTGTTTTGTAAAAAGTCATTTTAACATGAGAATGTCTTTAAATGACTCAGAACATTTACAGCTGTGGTTTTGAAAAGAAAAAGAAACACATTTTAACAATCTGAACTGAAACTCTGATCCTCACATCAGACTCCTTTACTTTCTCAGTTGACTTTATTAGTCCTCTAAGCTAAAATGGTGCTTTAATTCTAGGTTTTCGACCTCATGTTGTAGCTCATAGATACCACAATTGATGTATAAAACACATTTAAAATGATCTTTTTTGGTCTGACCACAATTCCAATAAAACTTATGACAGACTAAATTCACTTTCAAGAGTGAAAAATGTTTTTTTTTTTTAAATAAATGTCTAACCCCTTCACCCATGTGCTTCTAACCTTCACAGACTCCATGAATTGATGCCCATCTCTTAATTATTTGGTCACATGATCAATTTCTTTTACCATTTCTAAGTAACAGGGGGTGGCTCAACTTACCCTTTGGCTCAACTTACCCCACTCTCCCCTACTGTTCCCTTTACTTCTTGTGACGTTACTGTTATTAGATATCCGTTATCTTTGTTTAAAACTGAAACACAAACAGGGGTCAGAGGTCACTGATTAACTTCACTTACATTACCAAGACACGTTTTAAATTTATTTTTTATTTTTTTTAAATAAGTACTTTTACTTAAAAGTAGAACTGGGGGTAGTTAGTGCCATCTAGTGTCAGATTACAGTTTGAAGGCTGCCTTGCTCACCTCTCCCAGCAGTAAAGCAACAGTGGCCTTGGAGGACAAAGAGCGCCTGGGATGCATGATAAGAATAATGAAACACAAAAATACATGATCGTTATTGCATTCGACCCTTCTGTGTGATTAAAGTAACATCTGATTTATTTTAAGTTAAGAAAAAACAAAAAGTTTTTATACTTGGGTGATTGTACACCAACTGACATACTTACAAACATTTTTATTCCACTTCTATCAAGTCTGTTTACCTAAATGTCACTGAATACCACACACTACACCTTTAAGTGTTGTCTGTGGTAAGTATTGTACTTCACTACATTTTAGTGAAATTTTAATTTAGTTTACTATGTCTGAGTAAAAAAATCCTGAAAATAAACAAGAATCTAACCAGTGTCATTGGTAGCTGATTGGAGAATATCTACACTGTAAAAAAAGATCAGGTGAATTTTAAAATATTTCACTTCCTCCTGGAGAGGCGTAGAGTTAAAATCACTTCACACATGAATACTGTTGGCCATGTCACGAGAACTTTGAGGACAATAGGTTTTTAACATAAGCTGTGTGTGAATGTGTTTCCGGGCCTATGTTAATTCTGCTACTCTTGCTACCATGGGTCAACAATGAGAACTCAGGACTTTCCAAACAAAGTGCTTGTTACTGTTCTTTGTGTATTGTTAGAGAGTAAAATGCCATTAAGGTATGGCTGCACTTTTATAAAGTAAATCTTTTTAGTGCTCTTTCCACCCCTGGATACAATTTTCTTGCTTTTGTTTTTAACATAATGATCTAATGACTGAAAAAGATGTCTGCTTTGACGTCTGCAAGCGTCACCCTTTTGCTCATAAGCCTGATAGTAGACCACAAAGATGAACGTGAGCATTCTCAGTTTGGAAAACAACTTATTTAACAATTATTATATTTAACTTTTTAAATATTATATTTAACTTATTTAACTTATTAAACAACTTATATCACATGAGACAACAGACGATTGGATTTCCCTTCGGGGATCAATAAAGTTCTTCTTATTCTTATTCTTATTTCCCCCCTTACTTCTTGGAGTAACTACCAGTGTTATGGTCGAGTCACCAAAACTTGAGTCCGAGTTAAGTCTCAAGTCCTCAGTGGTCAAGTCCGAGTCTATTCACGAGTCCGGCATATCCGGACTCGAGGACTACAACACTGGTAACTACTAATGTTAATATGACAATTTGACTTGTTGCAGAAGGAACCATATTAGGTTTATTTTCACCTTATTTTTACAACACTTTCTCTCTCTCTGTATGTGCCAACAAAGAAGCTGATATTATTGCATACTTCACCAAATTATATTATATTTTTATTATTTATATATTAAATTATATTCATTTGTCACGTAAAGGAATGCGCTTAAGCAGGTACATAATAATAAAATTATAATATTTTGAATTTTAAAAAACTTGCTGACTGATTACAGATGGTCTTGGACTGCAAAGGAATCTTCAAAGTGACCCCACCCCAAAATTCAGATTAAAACACAACCTCTAATCTGATAAAAAGAAAACATCAATTTGATCATATGATCAGAGAAAGTTTTATTTCCTTTATTTGTACAAAGCTTCTTTATACACAAGAATAATATACAGAAGACTGAGAGTCAAAAGAAATAAAAGACATTTTTACATGGAGTACCTTGAAAATCACAGGCACATCTGGGACAGTGTCAACTACATGGTAGTTTTGAATTTCTTCTGCTGACATCCACCACAGCTGAACTCTGTAAGTGAACATAACTACCCTTATCATGTGTAGCATATCTGTCAATGTACCTGTAATTTAAGGCTTTGTTTTTTGCATTGTTATTTAATAAACAAAAATGACTGATAAAATGTAATCCTGTAAAAAAAAAAAGATTTGTCAGCATTTCCCCTCTTTCAAGATTTGTGGTTCAAACTCTCTGGACTTCCTTGAATCATTTTGCAACACTAAAACTTAATGAGAACTTACTAAGAGACTTCCAGCTGTTTAACTTTTGTAGATTTTACCGGCTCAATCACACACATCTAATGTGCGCAGATTGGCAGTTCATTCATACTATGTAACTGTGTGTGTGTGTGTGTGTGTGTGTGTGCGCGAATGTGCACGCGCACATATCCTCAGGCTCCTAGCCACATTTCTTCTCCTAAATGACGATAGAGTGAAGGTGTCTGAAACACATGATGACATCAAGCGGGATGGGTGGGCTCAGGTGATTTCCGTCCAAACGCAGGTACCTGGGGCAATAAAACAGGTTTTTTTTTTAATTAACCCAGTTAATTAACCCCTGCTGTTGTTATTTAATTCTCGTACACTTCTTGCTGAATAGCGTCTGTGCCTGTTTTAATTGTTTAGAGGCAATAATTAACATTGTTTGATTTACCGTAGACTGGGCACCAGGTTGTGATCACTCATGACTGCGTCAATACTGTATGGGCAGATCTGGGTGCCGTTGATGCCTGTTGAGGAAGTACACAGTCATGATTGTATTTCCTTCTTATGTCGTTTTCTTGTAAACAAGCAGGAAACCCGCTAATTGAACAAAAGTATTTTCCACATCTTCATCATAATTATATTAAACTTGGATTTAATTTGTAGAAAATCTATAAAGCCAGTACAGAGGTGTTACAAAGGTGTGTACACATGAGGATAATTGTAGACTGGACAAAGAGAAGTGAATGACACCTACGTACCCTGGAAACACCTCACATTGAAAGGTAATTTACAGTGTACTTAAGAGAATGCCCTGCAGTATCTGGAAAAACTAGTTCAGCTTTGATCTGAGTGACATACAGTCATGAAAAACTGTTTGCGGGGTTAAAAATAGAAAATTAAAACTAGACAAGACTGTGTGAAATTATTTTTAGAAAGTGATTCATTAGCATGTGAGATAAAACTTTGTCAGAACATGGAGGAGTCTGTTGAATTATAATGATTTAGGTTGTCCTCATTCCTAATTAAACAGCCCGTCTAAACAGTATACAACAGTACCACAGCTCATAATGAAAGATTTTTCTGGCTTAGGTTCAAAGTTATTGTTGTTGTACAAAAACCTTTTAGCAAATAATAGTCATTACTATCTGACAATATTCACTCAGCTAAAGTTAAAAAAGAAAAAAAAATGATTCAACAATTTAAAAAGCCTGAAGTTCAGTCACTCTTTGAGCACTAGGGGGCAGAAAAAACGTTTCAGCTTGCTAAATCATACCTGATGTACCATCATGGCCAGTGTGTCCTCAGAAACTTTTTCCAGGGAGCGTCTTTGTTTTAGTTTAGAGTCATTCCTGAGATATTATTTGGGTCATGATGAAACCAAATGTGGAATAAAAGCTGCAGAGCTGGATAGTAATTCTCTTGAGGTTCATGTATTTGAGAGACATCTCTAACACTGATGAAGAGTGATTTGGGTTAAATAAGAAAAGGACTCTGAAATAAACTAGGTAAACTTGCTCATTACTTAACGAGTTTGTCAGAAGACATTAATTTCCTTTTAGAGTGGTTATTTTTTGGTCAGTATTTAATGTCTGATTATGGTCTGATTTATCTATAGGGTTCAGCCAAAAATAAGCTTCACTTTTAGAGGTCAACAAAAAACTTTGTATCCAGAATTTAATAAAAATTTATGTCAAAGGTAGCACCAAAGCCGCTTTGGCCACTGAGGGGCAGCAGACGGTCATCCAAGCATTTCCACGTTATCCACGTTTAAGTGCCGAACAAAACGGCAGAGCAAAGTTATTTCTTGGTGGGTTGGGCACTTGCTGACCTGAAAGAGTTCTGCTTGATACTCTCTGAAGCTCTGATTTTTGTTAGTACTCTTGAAATCACCACCAGGTTGCAGCTAACATAAGTCTGTTTGCCATACTGTGGCAGTCAGGGGCACAAATGCCCAGAACTGCAGAATCATAAGTCAGTGTCGCCCTATTTTAAGAAAGAAGTCTCATGATTAAATCCTGTTTTTCTGTGTAATGTTGTTCTTCTAATATTCTTATATTCTAATCTTTAAGGACCATTTTGGTTTCTTACTCTCAATGCTGTTGTGGTCGAGATGCAGGTGCTCCAGGTGACTGCTGAAATGAGGAACAGAAGCGAGCTGGTTGTGGGACAGCTGCAGGTCCAGCAGGGTGGTTACGTTAAACACATTCTTGGGAAGTCCTTTATCGCTCAGCTGGTTCCGGTTCAGCCTCACAAATGCAAGGTGAGTGAAGGCCTTAAAGTAGTCTCTAACAAGAAGACAGCAGAGAAGATACAAAATTATAAAATAACTAAATATAAAGCTATGAAACATCCAACTTTTTAGAAACAAATGCATGTACGGCTGTGAGTGTTTTCTGTGTACTTACTTCGGGACATCATCAATATTGTTCTTGTCTAGGAAAAGCTGTATGAGACCATGAGGTACACCTGCAGGCATCTTTTTCAGGGCGTTGTGAGCCAGATTGAGCTGCATAAGACTCTTTAAGTCCTTAAATGTGTTCTGTCCCAGGTCATTGTCACTCAACTGAAAGACAAGTCAACAAACTCCACTGTTTGTCACAGAAACACACAGGAAGATGTTGCCACTAATATGTAAACAGTACTGTGGTTCAACAACATTTCCTGTTTATGGTTACTTTTTTTTCTACTTTGACTTTTCTCTCCCTCTATGTCTGAATTAACTTTTTAAGTATTGTCTGGATGTTGCATGTGAGAAAAATCAGTAGTTTGTACCACTGAGTTCTGTGATTAGTTGCACCGCTGATACTTTGAAAGAGAGGTTCACCTGGTTGTGGTAGAGGTCAAGCAGAGTCAGGTTCCCCATCTTGCTGAAGGCGCCAGAGGGGATCTTTGAAATACGGTTCTTACCAAGGCGGAGCTGTTCAAGACTCGTTGGGAGACCCGCAGGCACCTCTTTCAGCTGGTTACGCTGCGCATAGAGGTAGAGCAGTGCTGGGACCTTCTCAAACACCTGCGCGAGAGATTGTTTGTAGAAGCAACATTTGTAGAGTAAAATCAGAATTGGACTCCAATTCAGACTAAAATACAGTGTTCATGTCTAAACAGGAAAAGGGGAGAAAAAAGGATCTTGTCATTTCAAATAATGAATTTTAGTCTGACCTGTTTGTCAATTCGATGGATTCGATTATTTGCAAGGTTGACCCAGCGGACCTCGGTGGCATTTAGGAAGGGCTCTGCTGTCACCTCTGAGATATAGTTGTTCTGTAGGTACAGGTAGTGGGTTCTTAATGGGATGACCGGGATCGTACGGATGTTCCGGTTCTCACAGTTGAGAGAATTTGGATAACTTGGGGAACATAAACACTCCTTTGGGCAGTCAGGAAACATGGAGGGGGGACCCAGGATGACTGGTGGGAAGTCTGTGGGCTCCTTTGGCTCTGGTTGTGCTGGTCCAGAAGGTCGGGGGAAAAAAGGCCTCTTGGTGGTGCCTGGGCGCCTAGTGGGCTTCTTTGGCCGATCTCTCTGTGTGAACACTGCCCCCATCAGGAGGAACAGAGTCAATGCAGAGAAGAATCCCACGCCGGCCTTCATGGTCCTGCAACAGAGTCCAAGCAGGGGTACACAATTAAATAACTTAAATTAAAGAAGGATTAAAGCTCCCTTGAGAGACTCTCAGTTTGTGGGAGTTTTAGCACCCCCTGCTGACAAAGTGGTTTATTGCAGTTTTTTGTTTGTTTGTTTTTTTGTTTCATACTTATGTAACTAGAGTTCATTAAGAAAAAAACTAATTTTGCTCTCATTTGACACTCGTAGGCACAGCTGTTTTTGGATCATGATAGAGAGCCTTTTAATAACATTTTTAAATCATCGGCATCTGCTGACGCCTGCGCAATGGAAGTGAATCAAGTAAGCTTTTATTTGTTTATTAACCTAGATTGGCTATTTGGCTCACAACTGGTTCTGTCAACAAATAAACAAAAACTTACTGGCTAACATAATGTACTGTCTGTTATGGTGTATAAAATGATGCAGTTTGATATTGCTTCTGACATAAATTCCAGTTATGTACGAAATCTTTTGCATGACTCAAAACATATCACTATTACATAAATTAGTCAATAATCCATGTAAATTATGGTACTGGCCAAGATGACCATGAATAACAGACTGTAATGTGCAAGAAATGATGGAATGATACATGACATGTGTCTCATTCATTATCTCTAAATTACTGTATTTTGACATATGCAGAAAAAAAAACATAAGAAAAACAAACAAACAAACAACAAAAAAGAAAAAAATGACATGATGTTGGCATTTTCTATTGGTCATTGCTCAACCTGCTCTCTCATAACCAGCACTGGCATCAACTATTGAAAAACATTTGCAGTCGACGTCTACATCATAACCCGAAACACAATGAGACTGCAGAGCTTTTACCAACATGCTCAACTGGCAGCTGCTTAAACTTTTATTGAACTTTACTCCGCATAAAGTCTGACGGCCTTAAAACTCCTATGAAGAACTTAATGCTTGTGTCAAGTCTGGCGCCCTCTGTGGACCAAGCCCCTTGGACAAAAATGTCATCCTTCTGACTTTTGACAGTCAAATATATCATTTATTATTAATGTTTGATTGTATAAAAAGGACTGCTTTTTTCTGCTGACACCATGGTTAGTCTTGTCGCTGATGGTGATTGGATATTCTGTAAAGGCATCAATGTGAAATTCTGTCAAAAAGTAGCCTTATTGTACAAGCCTTGTAACTTACAGTATGTACCTTTACTTATTACTTAAATACTTATATACCTTTTTAAGTCTCTGACAGAGTTTTACAACTGTGATTAACTCAGAAAATCACATCAGCTGATACCTTGCAGTCGCCTATACTGTCTTGTGCATTGATATGTTATCAGCAATTGTACAAATAGAAGATGGGTGCTTGTGGATCAGTGACATAAGTGGAAGAAAAAAAGCAAAGGTGTGGGCCGTGAAGGAGGGGCAGATACTGATACAGGAAATTAGAACTTATGTGGGGGAGGAAAGCAAAGATTTTGGAATAAAGGCTCTATTGTTAGCATGCGTCCAGAAGGAGATATGTGGAAGGGAGAGCTGTAGGTCTAGAAGGTTAAAGCTTCTTGACCCACAAGAGAGCTTGAAGTAAATGGAGCCAAGTCCTCCTGAGACTCTGATGAAGGCAATGTGTGTCTTCCAAACCACAGAGAGTGCAAAAAGTGTTGCATTGAGAGTAGATTACAAAGTACAGTTGTGATACCTCTTGGGATTTTATACTCAAATACATTCATGGCTTATTAACTCATCTGAGAATTTGAGTCTTAACCAGAGTTTTTTTTAAGGTGTGTTCAATAACTGATAGCTTCTCTTTGTTTGAAGGGAGGATGCAGATGTTTAATCTGGCACCACAGGCGTTTATGTTACAGTGGAGATTAATTCGCTCCTCATGCCTTAATCCTAAAGTTTTGGATTTTTGCATTCATTGGTTTCTCTGCACAGTTCACTGTCATCATAAGCCTGATGTAAGTAATCACCAAACAGCTGTCAAAACACTGTACATGAAGCTCCAGAGCAGATGCTCCATTAGTTTCCAATCACTGTGCTTGGGTAAAGCCTGCCTGCTGCCAAATGATAAACATCACTCATGAATCAGGAGGGGGGAGAGGGCTCAGTGCCAGCATCTTCCTGCCTGGAAAAACAAACTGAATTTTTTCTCTGACGGTGTTCCCTGGCACTGCCCTTCCTTTTCCCTCTCAGTGCTCCCAAAATCTCCCAGCCCCTGCAAAACCAGCTCTGCATGCATGGTGCTGTTGCCTAAACCGGCAGTTTGGCAAACAACAGAGGACTCACAGAAGGCTGACTCATTGGTTTGTTATTTATGACCTTGATTAGTAAGTCTGATCAGTTTGAGAACAGCAGTTAGAGAGTTGGTTAGAGATCCTTGCAGTAAAACCCTGCAGGTCAGAATGACAAAACACATTGGCTATCACTTTGCAGATTGCTGTTTTCGTTTATTACGTAGTAGTTGACCTAGATTTGAAAAACTTTCTTTTCTTTCAAAGACATCATACATGATCCATTCTGTAGATGTCCTGCAGTGCTTGATAGTGTTGCAGCTATAGGCATTTTGCATGCTGGTCATGGACTTATAGGATTTAAACTTCAGGGGCAAAAACAACAAAGTTGAAAAGCTTCATCTGCTAATGATGTTCATATGGTGTTGTTCTAAGTTCCAGAGCGCTATTACATTGTATGGAAGCCCAAAGAGGCAAATGACGAATAAAACTTTAGATTTTTTTTTTTTGTCTTACCTGGATCATTTTCTATCCTGGCTTACTGATCTAAAGATCAGTAACCTAGAAGTTTATAAGATAATCTACCTTGCCATACATTTCTTTATTTTGTGGAGAATAAAATGACAGGTAATTGGGAAAAAAGACTGTTGTTGTAATTCACATTTTGGCCAGTAGGGGCCGAAGTACATGACTAGATGCCAGTTTTGTGTCATTTAACATTTAACATGGTTGGCCTAGAGAGAAACAGATCTTATAGACATTATCCTTGGAAAGCTTTTTTCCCCCTTGCTTTACTTTTGCTTGACTTTTCCACTGATGAACTTTTCTGCCCGTGTGTATAAGACATAATAATTACAATTACATAATAATACATGACCAAAAAAAGTTTTACTCCTTACATGACCAGTAAGGGACATTCCTAAAAATGGTCCTTCATTGGTGAATATTTGATTTTACTTATGTCAATTTCGGGATCTACCAATGAACCTTTAACCTAATAACTTTTAACAAAAATTCAAAATGCATCGGACCAATTAACACAAATCAGTCATCAAAATAATCATATCATTAATATAAAAACAAGTCTGCAAGATCAGGCATCTGAATTAATTATAATATTCGTAAGTTTTACATGAGTGTAAAATCACCTGGAAATAAGACTAGGTTTTTAAAAATCATATTTAGCCTTTTATTCTGGCATGAAATGTTAGGTACACCTGCCATGCTGGTCTGACGTCTATGCACTGTATCCCAGAATAGTCAAACTAGAAACTAACTCAGGATAAGGAATAACCTGTTCGTACAAGTCTGGTTGCCTTAGTTTGCTCTTCAGCGTTATTAGAGAGAGGAGGATCATCAGTCAGTGACAGTTTGTAAACTATACAGTTATTACTATCTAATTCTATAAAAAATACTTTTAATAGTCAGATTAAAAATAATAATAATCACATAATCAAGATCTTTTTTCTTCTTAATTGTTACTGAGTGTTTAACTTCAATTAAGATCTCCTAACATGTTGGTGCTACATTAGTTCATGAGAGGCAGCCCTCTTTAAACAAACAAACAAACAAACAAACAAACTGTAGAACTTAAGTCAACATCTGAACTGTGTTTCAGACCATTGTTTAAGTCCATGAGTATAGAAATAAAACCCTTATATTTCTCAGTGGCCTGTCACCACTTAGCCTTTGATGCTAAGCTCTTTCCATTTCTTTTTTCACTTCTCCTCTTTTGGCAGACAGTCACTATCATCTCTTTCCCTGAGAATGATCCCCACTGTTTTGTAAGACCACAAGAGAGCCTTAAATAAGAGCCACGTCATGCACAGAAGAATTCAGAAATCTGACTCACATCAATATCTGTGACCAATAAACACAACTACAAAATGACAAACAGCTGAAATGATGGTTTCTGTGACAACATATCTTATGCGTCTTTTTCACTGTGATTAAAACTAATCTCTACATTTATCTTAAACACAATTAATGTCAGTCCAACCAACCTTAAAAGATGAAGAAATTACTTGGGATGCAGGCACTGAAAATGCTGCAGAAACAATTCTCTTTTGAGACATTTATAGTTCTGCAGTTTTCTGTATCACCATTACAAAATTGGCAAAATATTTCCTCATGTGGGTGTGGCAGTCTGCAGTGCATGGACAAGAACTGCATCTACATCCATGATTACAAGGATTTGCTATGGATGGTAGGGGCAAGACAGAAACAAATGATGAGATTGTTTCTATATGATTATAACTTAATATTATCAGAGAGCAGAAAAAACAGAACTTTTTTATTTTAGAGGTAAGGAGATCAGTGAGATCAGCTCCTTTTCTGCAACAGGCGTTACACTCTGTACTCAAAGATTTAAGAAGTCCTAATCTCCTGACACGCAGTGAATCACCACAGCCTTTTATTTTGGAAAGGATTTGCATCCCTGAGAATATTCCTTTCTGAATTTTTACCCTTCTTTGCTCTGAACTAGATCAAGAATCTGTTCCATCAATTTTCTAACTTGAGTGTCAGTAAAAGAAATGGAAAGAGCTTCCAAAATTGCTTGAGAATCCGTCATGTGTGCTGCAAAAATAAAGATTCCTCTTATCAGCTCAAGAGTTTGCATGATTAAGATTTGGATTTCTTCATATTTCAAAATAGAAGGTCAAGGTAAATATGTAGAAAATCAAGAGAGTCCAAATTTTCTGCAAGCTCCCTGCAGGACAGAGTACCACTCTTTATGGCACTATGTTTCTATAGAAACACACCAGCATGGCCCTGAGGTGCCAGTGCCAGGATCTTCACTCAGTCCACACAAACACACCTTTTTTTTAATCTCTCTGCCTCTCTTTTTCTCACACCAACTCACTCTCCCTGTCTGCAGTTCTAACCTTGTCATTAAAAAGCAGCCCCCTCTGGAAATAACACAGAAAGTCTCTTACCTGCCTCTGGTACCTGCCCTCTTTTATCAAGTCACAAGTTTTGAGCCTTTTCTTCTCTTTACCTCTCTAACTCTTTTCTTTCTCCTCCCTCCCTCTCTCTCTCCCTCCGTTTCTCCCAGTCCCTAGCCCTCCCCTCCCCTCCCTCTCTTCCTCTCTCCCTCGCTCCTCTTTGGTGGACAAGTCTGCCTGTTGGGTTTGTTCCCTGGCTTTTTTCCCCTCTGAAGGTCACAGTGGTTCTTTTCTCCCCCTCCGCTCGCCTGCTCAGGCCCAGCGAGGTTTAATCTTAATTCCCTTTGGAAGACTGCGGCCTCTTTCATGTGTCTCAACTGTGTCACAGTTTATTATTATTTTTGCTCTGCTGCAGCATTGCATAAAATGTCTTTCAAACAGAAGAGCAAGGGTGCATAGGCATGTTTGCATATTTGTGTGTAAAAAAAAACAGAATAAAACCCTTTTGTTTCAGTATCAGAAGCTTGAGAAATGTTGTGGACACAGACCCTCTCTGCGAGGGAAAACCCAACTGAAATTGCATCTCCTCTGTCTCCCACTTAGCCAGCTATTGTTTAGATGATTGCACTCCCATCCAGTCATGTGCTTTTCATTAGCAGCATCTCTCCATCTTTTCTGTGTCATTAACATGTCCAGGAGGATATTTTACTTCCCTCCGGTATCAGCTAAAACACTCTGATGACTGAGGTCCAGCTGGGGCATGCAAAGGAGTGTTGGTAGGGGGTTTTCAGGAAGTGGGGCTGTGTGATAGTTTGATTAACAGAGTGGAAGACCTTTGTGTGTGCGTGTGTGCGTGTGCCCGCGTGCGTGTGCGTGTTTATGTGTCACCAAGGGTTAGGACTTGGACATGTGTTTGTTTCCCTGCATTCCAGGAGAGTGAGCTGCAGCCAGGGCGTAATGAGGTGAACATATGTGGGGAGCAGTTTCTAACACAGATGTACATACATGTGCCTCCTTTTCCCACTGTCTCGCTCACTTGCTTCTTCTTTTCACAAATTCTTCCCACTTCGATGCTGTCTCTATGTTTGGGACATTGGGCTCAGTTTGGCCAAACATCTGGTCCAAACCAGTCCCAACAAAGGAAAGAACTTAAGTAAATAGGACCCAGAGAGAGAGAGAGAGAGAGAGAGAGAGAGAAAGAGAAAGAGAAAGAGAGAAGGAGATGGGTGTATGTAACAGATACGTCACTTTTGGGGTGGCTGCTTTTTCTCTCCCATCCATTCTGCTACCATTTGAAAGAGAGGCCAAAAGTGATATTAAATGACTCCACCTGAAGTGACCTCATTTCCTCTAAGAGTCCCATTTTTTTGTGCTTCCTGCAGCATTGACATCATTGGAAATAGCTGCTCATAATTTGGTTGAATGTTCTCAGTATCATGTCTGTAGTATGATATCATTACAAATTTTAGAGCACAAAGAGCTTTAATTGTATGCAGTAAAAATGTCTCTGGCTTTGGGACACATTCTGCAATTATTGAACCCCCAATTCCATTCACTTTTATATGATAATAATAATAATAATAATAATAATAATAATAATAATAATAATAATGCGTCAGATTTTCTAGCACTTTACTAGAGACCCTCAAAACGATTTACATTGGATACATCATTCATTGGCTCACACAGTCACACCCTGAGTGCAAGGTGGGTTGAGTGTCAAGCCCAAGGACACAACAGACAGACGAGGGATAGGGGGGAATAGAACTGCCGACCTTCCAGTAGCGTTGTGTCGTTCAAGAATGATTCATTCAAAAGAACCGAATCTTTTAAGTGAATGTACTGAACCAAATCACTTCTTCAAGTGATTTGTTCGTTTCTCACCTCAGTTGAGCTGTCAGCAGTGCAGCTGATGGCACGCAGCATTGCCAGGTGAACAGCTGGTGAATGAGGGACCACATGCACCGACGCCTGAATCACTTGGTAAATGAATCACGCATTGAACTAAAACAAATTTTTTTTTAAACTGCTAAATTTTCACCACAACAACTTACATACAATAGGACACAGCATGTAACAAGTAGTGCATTAAACCCACAGCATCCTATCTTTGCAGTGGTTTGTGAGGGAATGGTGCAT